CCCTAACCCTAACCCTAACCCTAACCCTAACCCCTACTTACACCACCACGGCAGCCCCAACACCAACGCACACAGCACAAGACGGCAGGTTGCGCACGCCGCGCCACCATGTACACACGCTATGTTGCCCCCTCCGTCTCTTGCAGCACCACACACTCAGCAGCAGAGAGCCCTCTATAGCACGCTCACCCCATAGCACACCCGTCCAGCCATACACAACACGCAGCCACTCACCGTCAGGCCACACACACGCACCAGACGGAGCAGTGTCAGCGTCCCCCGCACGGTGCATAGCGGCAGATTCCTCAGTTTGGGCCGCACTCGCAGCACTCCCAGAGCGGATACCCCTACGCCGTGGGAATCGCCATCGTCACGCGTCTCTAGCAAGGTAACAGCCCACAGACGGACCAATACTCCCCTGTACACGTTGCTCGCCTGCCTGTTCGCTCAGTAAAGTATCCAGCTCTCATGCCGTGCAGAGGCCGTGTTGTGTTCGGCGTGGCCAGGCCCTCGAGTCGACCACCACCACATATGGCACAGACATCGCCGCAACTGTCGCAGCCCTCACCGTGTCATGCCTCTCTGTCGCGCTGGTGCTCTGTTCACCTCCGCTATCGTGGTGGCGGCCGCCTGTCTCTCAAGAAACTCCCGGCAAGAGTCAGCTCCCTTTCGTACCCCTTCTTCTCCCCTGCTCGTCTCCTCTGGCTGTTGCCGTGCGATTGCCGAGGAAGCGGTGGGCTCATCACGTTAGAGCTGGCGCGGTGTGCCGACGGTTGAGCACGTGACGTTGCGACACTCCGCCGTTCAGCAGGAAGCCGCCGTTGCTGCTGCAGTTGCTTCTTCTTGGTGGGCAGCTGCCGCACGTTCTTTGGCCCCTCGCCCCCGTGGAATGGTGCCGCAGCGGTAGACAGCGTCGCGTCCGGCACCTGCAGAGCCCGCCACACACCACCACGGCCACGCCCTCTGCCTCTTCCACAGCGCCAGTGCAATTTCCTCGCAGAAGGGGTTCTTGCGCGAGATGCGGTGGTTCATCAGCACCCTGCACATCCTCTTGAGGGAATAGTGCTGCAGCGGTTTGTGCTGCTTCGCGATGAGCAGCAGGAGGCGCAGACACGCGGGCAAGTCGCGGCAGTCGACCATAAGAACGTTCAAAACGTTCCCCAAACAGTTCGCAGTCATATAAAGGCTGCTGTCGCGCTCCTGATGTGGACGGTGTGCCCTCACAAGGCACAGCCTCGGCCACCCGCGCACGAAAACAGAACGCAGCTCCTCCTCCACCACCGGCGATGGTGCCGAGGCGTACGTGGTCAGCGCCACTGCAGACTCCTTGTTGTTTCGGGGCAGTTGTGTCAGCATGCCAGCGATCCCATGCCCCACGACAAAGATGGGAAGACAGAGGACGTCTTGACGGCACACCTGCTCTGCGGGAACCACTTGGCGTTCTCGGCAGTCAAGGACACCGTCGTGACTATTTTAATCTCTGTAGGTTTCGCCCTTTGTTTTTACATTACTCTCTGTATTCACTTTTTCGAGTCGCATGTTCTTTCCTTTTACAGTTGTATGTAGCCGTCCTTCTCTTGCTTGTTCTCGTACATCTTGTTTTTCTTCTGCGTCCCTCCTTCTTTGTTCACAAATGCCTGCTATCAATTATCGTCACCTCCTTCTCTCTCCGTATCAAACACCTCACTTCAGATGTTTATTTTTCTTCTTAAGATTTCAAGTCTCGAAAGATCAACCGTTCTAGCCTTCTCTTCAACCAATCAAGCGTTGCGTTTTGCAAAGCGGATCAAAAAGGCGGCAAAAAGGGCTCCTGGGTCTCCTTGAATCCACTTACATGCTGGCCAACGAATGACCGTACTCCGCGCTCTTCTTCTTGCCCTGTTCTTCAGAGAGGAGTAACCTACACCCTTCAAATCATCACCTACCATAAAGGTCAAACCCCTACATGAGATTTACATAAATTTATCTTTCTCGGTTTTACAACACACTGTAAATATCAATAGTTAAATCCAAATGCAAGAGAAAACAAACTATTCAACAGACCTTACGAAGTGGGTAGCCCGCCTTACGCTTCCCCGCTGGGTGAGCGGGGAGTTCAGGGTTGGGCGAGTGGGAAAAACTAAAAGATGGAAGAACTGCTGAATTCTAACGGTTGGAAAGGTGAATAAAAGGAAAAGGGGAAAAGGGGAAAAGAGTGGTAGGATGAATAACTTTTCAGACTAGGTCATTCGATTCGCAAGCTCTAAAGAAGAAACACAACAATTCGCAAATAGTTACGGCGAGAGACGAGTAGGGAGACAGCGGTAAAATCAACCGCCCTCGCCGCTGCGCGTTGAGGTAAAACTATGAGTAGAAGCAACGGACGCATATTGCACAACGTGTCCGTGTTCCCATCAAGGGGGAGGGAGGCCGGTACAGCAAAACAAAAAAAAACACCTTGTGGCTTAGCGGTCCCGCTTGTATTCAACGCACGGTCGCAAAGGAACGAGAACAAACACGAGTTCAAAAGCAGAAGCGAAACGAGGAAAGCGGTGGGTGGGTGGAGAACATAAAACTTAACGTTGTTGGGCGGGCGGGAGAGAGTTTCGGCTTTACACGTCGTAATCAAAAGGAAAAAGAGAGTGTAAAGTAAAGCGCTGACCCGCATGCCCCCGATACCGCATTGCCCTGTGACCGTGCCACTCTTGGCAACACTCAGATTCTTCTTTATAAAGGTGACATCTGTTTCGAATCGATCTCTTTCGCGGACCCGTAACTCTACCTGAAATAAGTCCGCGACACGCTATAACCTACCTCGGTTGCGCTTTCGAAAAAACCTAGCTTGTATAGGGTCAACCCGCTGATTGGCATCTGCGCGGCCACAGGCAACGCGCGTTGTACCCCACCGGCATCACCAGTTGCGTCAAGTGCGGGAGCGTCGACAGCTTGTTAACAACGGTGCCGCAAATCTAACCTTATGTTGACGTGGAGCGCTGCGTTGACTCATTCATCCCTTTCTGCACGTTCTTCTTTCGCCGATGAAGAGCATCGGCCCACTGATGTGTGCTCTGCTAGCATTCAACACCAGTATGAGTCTACATGGATCTACCCACCAAGGCGAGTGCACAAGCCTAAATTGTTTCGTCGTGTCCTCAGTCCCCACACTCGTGTCCGTAAGACGGTTGCCCTCCAGACACACTCGCAGATCTCCACCAATCTGTCTTCGAGATTCTGAAACAGTGTCTCCAGATGGAACCTCCCTGTGCAGAGAGACTTCTTTCCATGTACGGGGGCTTTATTTGAAACACTCTTGTGATGCAAAGTGCATTGCCCGCTCAAAGCCATGGGAGTGCAACCGCAGCGGCGCCTGACGAGAGTCTTCCGAAGAACTGTTGTTGTGAGCGGCTGCATTATGATGGGCCACTCTGACCCATAACGTTCTTCGAAAAACGGTCAAGGGAAAGCCGCTTGATGTGCGTGTGTGGAATTACTCGGCATCCTTGTGTGTGAGAACGTTTACAGGGGGTCTTGTGAGAAAAGAAAGAGCGAAATCGATGAAGTCGTCGCCGATGCCGATCAGCAAAGGAAAGCGGAAATGGAGAACAGAAAAAGTAAGCGGATGATGAGACGAGTCGCAGAGGAACTAGTTCGCATCGACTTCTAGACGCCATAAACATAAAGGACGGCTATCAAGTGACAATTGTTGCTTTTGAGGTCCTTTTCGGTCTTCGGGAACTGGCTTACTCCATCATGATCAGCAAAACGTGTGGTGTCAAGAACCGCGAACACAAGTACTGCACGTCTTGCCAGATGAGATTCGCTCTTCCAATAAGCATATTATATTGTGACTTCAGTTCTCGTATGTAGGTTTCTGGGACGGAAAAAGTCAACGAATCCGAATGGAGCTAATTGAAAGCATGGTAAGTATAAAAAAGAGAGGTAACTCAGACAAAGAAAAACAACGAGTGACTCACATTTCATTCCTTTTCGTTTTGGGTGTTGGTTGTTTTCTACTGTGCTCCGATACGGTAGTTTAGATTAATTTAATACCGCTAGCACTTGCACCTTCTCCTAAAGTCAACGATCGCAGAAACAAAACAAAAAGATCATGTTTCTTCATCTCACCACAAAAAAGAGCGTATAAATTGTGTGCCCGCAACGAGACACGTTGCGCCGGGGTAGAAAACACGCGGTTGTCCTGTGTGAGCGTGTGTCTGCGGCTACGTGTTCGCGAGAAGAAGAAAAACAGACACAAAAAACTGCAGTCACCACCTTTGCATTTCTCGTTTTTCCATTAATTGAGATTCGCAATGTGCATCGGAGAAACGAACCTTGAACAAGAGTCAATCCTAAAGGAGCAACGGTGTAAAAAGAAAAACATTTGCATTGCGTCTCACAGATACGAGAAAAAAAGAATGCACAAAGAGCGGGAAAAGAAATACTCACTTCATGGTGAGGTGAGCACGTTGAGTGTTCCCCTGCGCTCAAGCTTTTTTTTTGGAAAACGCCTGAGAAAACGGTAAGCAAAGGTCAGAAAAACGCAAAGATTTAAAAAGAGAATATCTCACGCGTCTGGGTAGATGGACTGAACACAGAACCGCAAGCTTGAAATCGGTACAGATTAAGTAGGACAGAAGAAAGCCGAATGAAGCACTGCGCGACACTCCGACGGTGAAGTCGCGCAGTGCGCAGCAATGAGAGAGAGGAGGGTAAGAAAGACGGTCGCACAGTGCTTTGTGATTGTATTTGTTGTTTTTTTTTTTCGAACTCGATTCCAGCGGATTCCTCCAAACACGAAGGGGAAAAAGAGACAGCGACTGGTGGCGTATTGGTCAACGAAAAAGAAAGGAAACGAACGAAAAATACTCGCATCACACTACTTTTATAAAGAGAAAGGAAGTACACTGGCTTAATATCAAAAAGAACCATCACGCCGACATGGACCCCAACAGCACAGAGAAGGTCTCGCACACAGAAGCTGACGGGGATGCTTTATTTCTTCTAGCTGAGCTGATGTTTCAGTGGATCACCTCACCTTTGGTGTCCACTTAAGCCTTCTCTTTGATGAGCGGCAACAGTTCTTCGGGGCACATCGCATTGGTCAGCGACTTGCGAGCTGCAATGATCAAGCCGAGTTTAGGAGCCCCTACCAGAGGTGCGAGGCTCTGCAAGTTCTTGCAATACTTGAGGTCCACACTCTCCAACTCAGGACACTTGCCGATATTGTCAATGTTGTTCACTGCGCTTCGAGGCGCAACGACCTTCGCAAGCTTTGGCGCCCCAGCCAACGCGGAAAGGCTGCTCAAATTGTAGCACCCTGTGAAGTCCACTGAGGTCAGCTCCGGGCACGTCGCGAGCCCATCAATCACGCTCACGCCGCTTCCTGCCGCAAGCAATTGCTTTAAATGCGGGCACTCAGCTAAACAAGCGAGACTGCTCAAGTTTTCACAGTAGCTGACATCGAGAACCTCAAGCAGTGGGCAGCTGGCGAGCCCACTCACGTCCCGCACACCAGTGCCGGCGGCGTAGATGTGTCGGATGCGAGGTGCACCGGACAAAGGAGAAAGGCTGGTCAGGTGGGCGCAACCGCTGAGGTTGATCGTCTCCAAGAGAAGACAGGCGGCGAGACCGCTGATGTCGTCCACGTCGCTGCCTTGCACCGAAATCCTCTTCAAATGCGTCGCGCCGGATAGAGACGAAAGGCGGCGAAGACTCTTGCAGCTGGACAGCTCCAGCACCTCCAGCTCCGGACACATTGCGAGCCCTCGAAGCTGGTGGACGCCGATGCTCTGACCCGTGATCGTCCACAGGTGTGGCGCAGCGGCCAACGAGGACAGCGCCTCCATCCCGGAGCAGTAGTGGAAGCGCACGTGATGGAGGTTGGCGCACACCTCAAACCCGTTTATGCTTCCCAGCGTGCTCGTGGTCACCGTCAATTGCACGAGACTCTTTGCGAAGGCCATCTCATGCATCGACGGTGTGCTCATCTCCAGGCCCTCAATAAAGAGGCTCTGCAGGGACGGAATTCGACACAGGATGGCGTATGTGTCCTCTGCGCATTTGTACAGACGCAGCGTGCGCAGCTCCGTCAGCTGAGAAGCGTCGACAGCGCGCAGGAGTGCGGCATCGCCTGAGACGGACAGCTCCTCCAGTTGATGCAGCACGTTGACTGGCACAGACGTGTTCATCTCACGTTTGCCAATGTACAACGACTTGAGTTTCTCGTGGACTGCGGGAGAGGCAGTAAGGAGTTCATTCAGCGCGTCCGCGTCCTTGGCGCGAATGCTCAGCGGGCACCGCTCCAACCACCAACTGATGTTGCTCACAGGCTGCAGCGCTTTGAAGTTGTACTGCAGTTCATGCAGGAAGGCGTCGCAATTGAGAGGGATGTGCAAGTTGGTGCGTCTACGGCCGTTGGACGCGATCTCCGAGCAAAGCCGTGCGCAGGGCGAGACGGCGGCCAGTGTAGAGAGGGCATCGCCGCGGTAGTAGCTCATCACCTGCGTCAGCGCATTCTTCTCTACTGCATCCAGCAGTAGACTCGGTTTTGCTTCGCTGTCGCGGTAGGCCTGCGTCGTACGAAGGTGGCTGTGCAACGTCTCCAACTCAGCAACGAGGGCATCCATTGAGATGAGTATTTCGCTGCGTGATTGTATAGATTCGTGGAGATGACCAACAAGAAAGCTGGCAGGGAACTAATGAAAGCTTCAGGCTGGAGACCGCTCGAAGCGCGGAAGAAGGAAGAGAGAGCGCGTAAAGAGATACAGTAGCGCCGCCGTTCAAAGGCGAGAAACCAAAAGGAGAAGCCAGTCGCACAGCAGGGAGCTAAAGAGCAGCTGTAGAGAGGGGGCCGTCATATGTGCTTTTCTTTCTGCTGTTCTGTATATGTGCAGAGAGTTCGTCGGGAGTTATCTCCCAAGAGGCTCACTAGTCACAACGCAAGCGCCGTTGAAGGGAACAAAGAAAAAAGGTATTGCACAGTCGCGTGAGCGTGAGGAACTCGAGTGGTCTTTCCAAGCTGCGTTAGGGAGAAAAAAAAAGAGAAGCAACGCGCTATCGCACACGAAGAGGGTCTACTTCCCTGTGATGTTTTTCGTGTGGCGTCCCAGCGTCTCCTTAACCTGCGGGTTGCTGAACATATTGTAGGAGTCCACCGTGTCCTGGGTTCGCAGCGCAGGCGTGCATAAGGGAGCCAGAACACGGCGACGCGACATGTCCTTCACCATCCAGAACGGCACCGGTGACGGAAGCTCGAGCAGCTTCTCCATGAACTCCAGGCACGGCACCACCGCCTCGTCCGGGTTGTCCACCACTTGGTCGACAAGGCCGATGCGCAGCGCCTCATCCGCGGAAACGAGCTCGCCCAACGAGAGCAGCCCCTCCGCTTTACGGAAGCCCACCACGTGCTCCATGGAGCCGGCGACGTACGGCGGCACTACGAAGCCGTACCGCGTGGCCGAGATGCCGATCGTCAGATCCGTGTGCTTCACCGGGTGCCGCCGCGCCATCACGCGGTAGTCAGAGGCGAGCGCCATAATGCACCCTCCCGCCGCCGCGTGTCCGTTGATCGCGGCGGCGAGCGGCACCGGCATGGAGTGCAGCGTAATGAAGAGCTGTTGAAACTGGTTCCAGTAGTGCGCAAAGCGTTCTTGGGAAAGATTGACGTTTAACTCGTTCAGATCCAGACCAGCGCTGAATATGCCAGGGTTCTTCGAGGTGAGGATGATGCCGCGGCAGCGGAACTTCTCCGGGGTGCACACCTCGTTAATCGCCTTCAGAAAGGCCGAAATGAACTCGGGGGTGAGCAGGTTGGCACGTCCGTTGTTCATCTCGAGCAAGAAAACTTCTTCGAGCGGTGACTCCCGTACGGTCACCAAGTCTGTCGGTGAGGACGACACATCCGGTGCACCTGCAGCGCTCGCGCATGTTCGACACAGCAGCGCTGCACGAGAGGTCAAGTGTGCAATCCTTCGCATGCTTCCGGTCGAAGGTAGTGTGAGAGAGGCAGCTCCAGTTTTTCTCTCTCTCGTTGATGTCGCTAGACTCGCAATGCGTTAGATCACTTTCTATAACAGAACCGGAGAAAGCAGAAAAAGTAGCGGGAAAATTCAGATTGCACAAGCAAGAAAAAGAAAAGAACCGGCAAACGGCACAGCATTACGCACATCCCCCTTTCCTTTTTCCCCGCTGAAACGTGAAGGGAAACAGAGAAGAGGAAACAGAGCAGATTTATGCCGCATCTACGCGCTCCACGCTTTTCGGCGCTCTTCATTGATTAACACAACAGTTGATTACTCACAGTGACGTGAGTGGAAAAGCGGCAGTAGCAAAAAAGCGTTGCCGGGGCTTCGGCATCCACACAAAAGCACGCGCCTGTGATTTCCTCTTCCATTACGATGGGAGTGCAACACGGGGAAAGAAGACGTCAGGGAGGACAGTAGTGCCGTCGGCGTGGCGGAACTGCTGCCACAGCTTGCCGCAGTCCTCGCCGAACGTTGCGTCACCTCGAATGTAGTGGATTCCAATCCCACGACGCCAGCCATTCGTCGCATTTGGGCCAGAGCCGTGCCACGTATTGCTGTTGTGAAAGGAGCAGCACCCGGCGCAGCCATGTGTATTGACGACCTCCACATCAACCGGTGGCGCGCTGCTGCAGCTGCTGCGGCTGCGCACACGCTCCTCATCCTGCGCGGCAATGCGAAGCAACGCCGTGTAATCGGGCTTGTAGAACTGCCTCGCACTGCCGCGCCGGCCGTCGAGCCATCTGTGCGAGCCACGGCAGTACTCCAGGGCGCCCACGTTTGGCACGCTGATGTCGTCAAACGGAATCCAGAAAGTGCACACTTGCTTCGGCACAAAGTCGAGGTACGGCGTGTCGCGGTGAAAGCTAAGCGGCCCGGAGCTGGGTGGCTTAATCCAGACCTGATCTTGTGCCACACGGCAGCCCTCCTTCTCCCAGCCCATGAGGCGGCCCACGACAACGCCGAGCTGCGGCGAGGTGACGAGTTGCGCGATGGTGGTGTTGCACCGCCACGCATTGATGAGGTGGATCGTAGTGCGTGGCTTGGCTCCGGGCCTCAATACCGGTGCGGCATCGTCAAAAGAAAGTCTTCCATCGCGAGGGAGGTCGGCCGGGAGGGCGTTGGCGTTACTCGGCGGGATACCGGTTTCGTACTCTCCGTTGAGAATTGCTTCCAACCCCGCGTGTATTCGCTTCAACGAAAGCTCCGTGTCACCGTCGAAGATGCTCTCAGGGTGGAGGAGGAAGCCGTCATTTTGAAACTGCTCCACGTCTGCGCAGGACAAGGCAGCGCCAATCGGCTTCACGGTAACTGCGTTTGCTGCCAACATGGTGCATGCTATTTAGTCCCACCGAAGCTGCACACAAGAAGCGGGCGTCAACGGAGAGGCGGGTTGCAGACGCAGGAAGAGGGGAGGCGAAAGTGCGAACAGATGAAAAAAATGCTTAGGCAGCGCCCGCCAAATACAACGTTTGTGCAGTCATTCTCGCCTTTTTTGGCTGGAAGGAGCAGAGGAACGCAAAACGCAGATCCGCAGGTGTGGTGTACTCCACTTCGTACGGATGGGACTGAAGGACATAAATAACGGGCGCTTGTTTTTATGATCGACCGCCTCGATGCACGAGAGAAAAGTTTCGTTTTCCAGCTGTACAGTGCCGCCTGGTGTCCACTCTCTTTCTTCACAAGCTGCTGTTTTAATCTCTATGAAAGATAAAAGAAGAGAGGAGAGCGAGAAGTGCCGACGAGAACAACACAAAGAAAGAAAAAAACGCCCTCGGCGATTCAGTCCAGCCTTCTCGGAGCTCCGCTCTCCTTCCATTTCTTCCCGACGCATGTGTTCTTACCCGCCATAATTGCCCCGAACATGCAAAGAAACACCAACGACAATACCAATAGAGCAAAACAAGAACAGGGATGAATACAGCATTCATTTGCCCACATCAACCACACACACACACACACACACACATAGGCACATAAAAAGACCCACCCAGCCACAAATGCTCTCTTCTCCAGTACACAGCTGCGTCTGTCGAAGGGAAAGAAGAACTGCTTCCGTGCTCAGCGCTTATTAAAAGCGGCGTGCAGGCGGCACACCGGTTCCCCGCGGTCCCATGTTGATGGGCATCTTTGTGGGACGAGAGGCGGGGGCGGCGGGCGGGGCTGACGATGACGAATGCGCCGCCGCCGTGCGAGCGCGTTTGCGTGGCCGGTCCTCGTCGTCGTCGCTGTAGCGATGTGCGCGGTCCTTCGCGGCGGCCTTGCGCTCCAGCTCATCCCAGTCCGCGTCGCTCGAGTCGTCGCTGGCGTCGCTGTCCGCATCCACGTCGCTCTCCTCGTCCTCCAGCCAGGAGCTGTCGTCGCTGTCGCTCGACTCCTCGTCCTCGTCCTCGTCCTCGTAGTAGGTGGAGTCGGAGTCGGAGTCGGAGTCCGCGTCGCCGCCCTCCTCGTCCTCCTCGTCGTTCGTCTCGTTGTTCAGAACGGACCAGCCTTCGCCACGCAGCCACGGGTCCCAGTCGGGGTCCTCGCGGATGTCCTTCATCGTGACGCGCCAGTTGGGGTTCACAGTCGTCTCCATGTAGTAGAGCCGCGCACTGAGGCACCAGTCCTTGATGTTCTCGAGGGAGTTGCGCGGGATCGAGCTGATGGTGACGACAGGCTTGTTGTAGTCCTTCAGGATAAAGGACATATCAAAGGTCGCCCCGCCCGGGATGACGCGCTCAAAGGACACCACCTCGATGTCCTCCGCGCTCTGTGTAAAGGCAGGGATGTCCGTAATCGCCCACAGCACCTCGCGGCTGGCCTTGAAGGTCGTCATGGACCGCGCGTGCACGCCGTCAAAGGCGAACTGGCTAGTTGGGAGCTGCGTCCTGATCTTGCTACGCTCCTCAACGGCGTAGGCGAAGGTGATGAACTGCTTGTTGGTCTGTTTAATGCGCTCCTCGTCACGCTCCTCGGCCTGCAGCTCCTCTTCATAAGAGCGTCGGACACCGCTGGCCAGCTCGCTGCTCTCCATCACCTCCGCGACAAATTGGATCTCCGTGACGCTCTTGCGGTTAATCTCAATCGGCTTCTTCAGCGTGACGTGGTAAATGACGTAGATGCTTTTCACTGCTGGCTGGAAGATGACGTGCTTAATGTTGTCGAAGAGCATGTCCACCGGAACACCGCCCAAAAAGGAAAAGCGCAGTCCGTTGGCGTGCAGTTCGAGGTTGCCAACGCAGCCTTTGTTCTGACGGCTGGAGCTGGTGATCGGCGGGCGGATCTTCACGGTCGGAAGGCGTAGCGGATTCGGCGCCAGCGTCAGCCTGCCCGAGGAGGCCGAGGTCAGCGCACGTTTCCTCGCAGCGTCCTCGTTCTTAATGCGCTGCTGTACGCCTTGGATGGCGATTTGGGCATCCGTGAAGACGTCCCGCGTGCTAGAGTAGGTCAGCTCCTTTACAAACACCTTCGTACGGTTCATCTTATAGCCGACGTTGGACTCTTGCATGCTGTGGAAGGTAACCGTCATCGTGTACTTGTCTCCCTCTGCCTTCACGTCGACCTTGTTGATGGTCGAAATGTGAAATGACACGGGCCGCCCGCACACCGGGAGCCACACCACCTTCTTGTCCGTCTGTACAACGATGCCGTTCTTGCCCTCCTGCGGCGGGAGGCGGTCGTCCGGCTTGTAGGGGTTCAGTTCACCAAAAGCGAGGCGGCCCACGTCGCAGGTGCGGTACTCCTCCGTGGACGTTTGCGAGCCTTTTTTGCCGCCGGCGGCAAGGAACTCCTCGTGCAACTCACTCAGCAGCTGCCGTAGCTGCTGCTCGCGCTGCGCCTCACGCGACAGAATGACAGTTTCAGATTGTCCCTGGCGGGTGATTTTGCTGAGGTTGCGCTGCGCCTGTGCCGACGCCGCCGCATCCTCGTCACCGGCGGTGTCCTCGAGGTCCTCGTAGAGAATCTCCTCCACCTTGCGGGCCACCTTGGTCTTCAGCTCCGCGACGCCGTTGTGGACAACTACCGTGTCCGTCAGCTCCACATCGAAGGTGTCCTCGGCCCCGTCGCTGGCGACGCCCTCAAGGACGACGCGCGTCACGAAGCTCATGCCATCCGCCACAGTTGCCGTGCCCTTCGGTGAGATGGTGCCGCGTGCCTCTAGCACCAGCAGGCCAGTGGAAAAGCCGAGCGTCTTGGACAGTTTCGCCGCGAGTGTAGCGTTGAGCTCCGTTGCGTACTGCACGACTGTCGCGTAGACATCGTTCACTTTTGCACCAGGCACGAGCGCCTCCATCAGCTTGGCGCTCACGTCGTAGGCAAACTGATACGCCTCCTTCGCGTTAGGCGGCGCAGAGGACGCGACCAGAAGCGTGCGACCGAGGAACGCGGTGTAGCCGGCGTTCTTCAGGCCGTAGCGCACCACTACAACATCACCGTGAGTAGGCGCATTGCAAGAAGCTTTCAGCGTGTCCTCGTCGACGTTGAGCTGCGACTTGTACGTACCTTTGTGGAAGATACAGGGAGGCAGCCCAGTCACCAACGAAAACTCCTCCGTATCGAGTCTCTCGAGGCCTTGAATGGTGTTGGGATGCTCCAGCTTGGCGTACAGCATCTGCCGCACATCGTAGAGCTTCTTCGGGCTGCGCTCTGACATCTCGCTCGCGATGTGGTCCCGTGCGTAGCGACGGAAAACGGCGCAACAGAGACCCGCCGCCTTTTCCACGCAGCTCAGCGCCGCTTCGTCCTTCACAAAGAGCAGCTCTCCCAGCACCGGGGCAGCGGAGAGGATGGCGTCGGACGGCAGGGTGGACTTCACCGCCTCTACAAAGGCAGCGGCGAATGCGCCTTCCTGGATGGCGAACTCGTTCAACGGAGCGCCGATCACCTTGCCGGAAAGGAGTGCGGCTATACGCGGCTTGGCCGCCTCCACACCGCTCACCACCTCCACCGCGTGGTGCTCCGCCTTCGTCGCTGGCGGCGCAATGTCCACTCCATCAGCGTGAATGAAGAGCGTCACTTCCTTCGTGATGATCGCGGCCGCGTTGGTCACAGGTTCTTTTGCCTCCAATAAGTACTGAACCATCGCCTGACCGCGCTGGTTTTCTGGGGTGTTGACGCTGCGCTCACCGAACACACACGCCCACCCACCACATTGTGCCGCTGTCGCCTCACCCGCATCGGCAGCCGACTGCCACTGCTGAAGAACAGTGGCGAGTCTCGAGGCAGACACGGTGTACCGAGCCGCAGAGGACATGAGGCCAACACAGTACTTTTTATCACTGTACGCAAACAGAAAGATAAACCACTTAAAAAAAAAAACTGGATAAATTGGTTATTAATTTCCTTCTCGCTGCGCTCACAACAAGAACCAGCAACAAAAGACGTGGGTCTATGTCTGCGTTTGCTCTTCGTCTGGGTGTCGTTTATCTCTGCGTGCTCGCGTACCTCTGTGCGATTTACTTGCGGTAACCAAAACACAATTTGAAAATGGAGAGAGTGTTTAAACACAGAGCTGAGTGTGGTCCAGCTCGAAACGCTTCTCAAAGGTGTCGAATACTTCGGTCGGCGTCAGATGCCCCGTGTTGACGAAATTCAAATAAGAAAGCGGAGAAGTGAAGAAAAATGAGATGGAGAGAACGCAAAGGAAGATGGAAAACTCGAAACTGGTAACAGATCAGTCTTGCCTTTTACGCTCCTAAATAGAAATAGCTAAAGCAATCGGAACACCGCTGGAAGATGCTACGTTGATGGTTTCGCGCCTCACTCACACACACACACACACACACACACACTTCCCCTTACGATTGTATCCTACAACTTCTGCTCACGCACAATGGAAGCACAAGGAGAGATTTAAGTAAAGTGTCGGAAGGCGTGGTGAAAACGAGCATCACCACTTTGTTTGAAAGGTAGCGGCTGCAACGCAACTTGAACGTATTAGAGTAGACAGGGCACTCGTCAACAGGAACTTTTTTTTTAGCGGTGGTGGTTTTGCTTTAGTTCGAATTGATGTTGTTTCCTCGTTTTTTTAGCCCTCAACATTTGTGAATGACACCGACCCCAACGACGCATCGCAGCTCAACAACCCTGCGTCACAGGAACACCTGGCAGGAGTAATACGGTGAGAGCACGCAAACGAACTCACGTCTTCACACGTTTGTACTTCAAAATCTTCGCGCGCCTCGCCTCCTGCTGCTTCTCGTGCGCGCGTGTGCGCAGACCCATCAATTTGTACTTGCGCGACTTGCGCAGGTTTTGCCGGTACTTCTTCCTCGCCTCGATGTACTTCTTCATGTCGTACACCTTCTTCTTTGGTGCGGCCGTGGTGGGCTTCGCGCTCTTCGCGTCTTCAACGTCCGACTGGCTCACCAGCTGTGCCGAAACGAACTCATCCCTGAAGTACGTGTACAAGGGTGGCGATGTCAGTTGGCACTCGTCGGTGGCGAGTTTGCTGAGGTCCTCCTCCTCGCTGGGAATAAAGGTCGGGAAGGCGGGCAGCCCGCGGTGCTCGTTCCACAGCGTGTAGCCTTTCGTATTGATGGTGTCGCTGAACTTCACGTACGTGCCGACGTCCGCGTCGATTAAGGTGGGGAGGTATATGAGAGAGTTTTTGTAGTCGATGCGCCACACTGGCACACCCTGGTAAGTCTCCGCTGAGGCGCCAGTCTGGCCGGCCATGCGGTGCCCGGGGAAGATGCGCTTCTGTCCCTCGGCGCCCATGCAGCCCGGACGGCGCTGCCATTTCGAGTCGCCGAGCCACACGTAGCCGCCATCGAAGCCGTGTCGGAACATGACACCCTGAAAGCCGTAATCTGTGTTCTGGAAGGTAATCGTGACCTCCTGCCCAGGCTTGAAGTGGCGCACATCCAGTTTCGTGCCCACAGGGGCGTAAGCATCCGGTGTAATCGGGAAGCCAGCAGACACGTGCTTCACCGGTACGCCGGCCGCCTTGTAGAAGGACGCCACGTGCGGCTTGTGGAACTCCACCGGTACGTTCATGGCGCCGACGAAGACCTTGTCCGTGCCGACGTCGCCGTTGCGCGTGCTGTGCTTCACAATTTGATTATCAGGGAACCAGAAGGCAGTGCAGTCGAACTGGTTGCCCAGCTCATCGTAGTCCTTGCAGGTAAAGACCTTCACGCCGATCAGGCCGAAGCGGACACTGTAAAACATGTTAAACTCGCCAAAGGGGGGCGGGTTGTCCCAAGCGCGGGTGTCCTGGTACAGCTCCGGGAACTTCTCCCGCAAGCGAGTAAAAGCGTCGTACTTATCCTCACGAATGGCGTCGTACGTCGTCTGCAGCTGCTCCACCTGCCACTCGCGCGGGTTCTCTGGGATTTTGGGGTAGAGGCTCATCCGGTCTCCGTGGTCGAAGAGGTAAGGGTAGTAGCAGTGGTACATGTCGCGGTCCTTCTCCTCCATCATAGAAGGGTAACATCGATACCAGTCGGTGCGGACGCGACGGTCGCCCGGTCCGCCGCCGGTGCGCCACCGCTGTGCCACGCCGGCGGCTGCACAGAGAGCATCACGGCGAAATCGCAGCATTTGACCGCGTCCACAGAAGCCGCAAAACTAAATGCACGTTTCGTCTTGCGGTGGAATGCGCACCATTAAACTACGGCGGTGCGCGGCGAAATGAAATGAAGAAGGTGAGGGAGGAGGAGGAAGCAATCGCGGTGCAGAGCGTATGCGAGGAGCAGGAACAGAATGGACACCCATTTTGGCACGTCGCAACGTGTCGTAGAGCGAAGTCTTTATTGTCTCTGAGCAGAGTCAGAAGATGGTGTACTACAAGCACCTGCCTTTTCTCTCTTTACCTGTTTCCGCCAAAAAAAAAAGCATGTACGTAAACGGTCGCGAGGTTCGCAGCCCGTTACACCGCGTGCACGAACACTCACACACACACTAGCGTGATTCACTACACTGCTGGGGTGACTGCCTTGATAGCAAGTGCAATCATTAAAGAGGAAAAAGCCTCCATCAGACCTATATTCATTCCGCCTCAGCACGCGAGTGAGCGACACGATGCTCCAACACAAACTACAGAAAGAAAGAAAAGAGGAGGAGCTCCACCGCCCTCATGAAGCATACACACACACGGAGAGAGAACAAAGCGCGTACTGTCGTGCTGATGAAGTGCAGAGCACATCACCGCTTCCCAAGTGACGAGGCCGGGTCGTAACTTTTTGTAAGATCGAACAGGCGTTGTTCTATCGGAGAGCGAAAGGCGTGCTGCGGCTCCATAAGAGTAAAAAGGTAGCGCAGTGTAGCATGATCGCGGTAGAAACGGGTGTTCAGCACCGCCGACTGCGGAATGTCGGCCCGCAGCTGCTGTACCTCAAAGGGTGCGTGCTTAAACCAGCGGTGCGGGAAGGTCCGCCACGTTGCGCGGTCCAGCGGACGGCGGTACTGGTGCACGCCATCGGACCTCAGATCACGGTGCCCCTTCCCGGCACTCTGCACCAGTCGGTCCAGCACCGGCTTCGTGAGCAGCAGCAGCACCTTGTTGCCCCATTCCAGAAAGAGCTTGTTCGCTTCGTGAAAGTCCTTGGCGGAGAGGTAGTTATTGCGGCGGTGGCAACTGCGGTCACCGTGTTCGTGGATGAGGCGGCGCGTTCGCTCCGGCTTCGGCTCACGAAGGGAACGCTTCACCCGGCGCTCAAAGAGAGATTTGTCGGCGCTCGGGTCGGTGAAGCGCAGGTGGGCAATCATCGCGTAGCACAAATCGTGCAGCTCCTGCGAAGCGGCCTCGAGCTCATCGAAGTCCTCGTCAAAGGCAGCGTCGCCCTCTGCTCGCACATCCGTGGAAGGCAGGTGTGCCGTCTCTTCGTTGTGTCGCTGCTCACCTGTCCTGGGGCGCAGCTCCACATCTGCTGGTGGCGCAGAAGAAAGCCAACGCTGCTGCATTTGTGAAGGCGGCGACGCGGCACAGAGTGCACGGCGCAGAAGCGAGGACCCGCCCCGCGCCCTCATTCCGCACACTAAGCGCTGCATCGAAGAGCCCGGTGTACCAGTACTAATACAACAAGAAAAACAAAAGACCACCACAAAACGGTCGTTGCGCTTATCAGTGTTCTCTGTTTTTAGAATTTCGCGGTCCAGTTTTTAATTCAACGCCGACGGAGTGTGAAAGGCAAAGAGGAGCACGAATAGCGCACCACACACCCATGCACACGCACACACGCAGCAGCAAGCACACACTCGAGACAGGGTTTGACGGGAGGGGAGGGGAGGAGGGAGGAGGGGAGTTGACCAGTAAACGGCTGCAAGAAGAGCAAGTAAATCACAATTCAAGTGCAACATGGAAACAGAACAGGCGCCCTTTGACCGCGCAACTTTGGCGCAAGCACCGTCCAACCTAATGACACGTTTTATTTCAATTGGGAAGTGCATAGCAACATCAATCCTTTCACCGTTTCCACGTGTTTGAATAATTCTTATTGCGCTTTAAATGGCATTCCTTCCAATCTAAGTATTCTGTGATAATGTAACGGGGAAAAGGAAAATTGCCTTCAATGAGAAGGCCAGTACTGGGAAAACACCAAAAGGAAAGAGGTCAGTACCGCTAGAGGGCAGCTGCTAGTCCAGTACGATGTGTCGAAGATGGGCGCTCAGCTTCTCTAATTCAAACACATCCTTCACGGCAAGCCCGGACTGCACGAAGCACACCACCGCCGCGCTTCGACCTTCCAGCTGCTCTAGCAGAGTGCTAGACAACTTCTCCGGCACGTGCACCGTCTCCACACGCGCATCTGGAGCTGAGGAGGAGCCTACAGTCATTTCCAGGTGACAAGGAAACGAGCGCGTACCTGCTGACAAGGCGGTGCAGAACTGCGATGCTGTCCCACCGTAGAAGCTGCGCAGCTCCAAGTTTGGAAAGAGAAACAACAGTCCCAGCAGCAGTGGCGCACTGTCAGCGGAGTTGCCTACCACTTCATCGTCAGCATTGGTATTTGTTAGATGCAGCAAAGTCACACTCACCGGGGGCTGCACCGCTGTCGAGGCCAGGTGGGTCAAAATTGAATACTGGCTCCATATGTTTGCTGCTGTCGTAATGTAGGAGCATCGACGTATCAGTGATACCCACAGCACATGATGGGCATCAGCCATCGTCTTTGCACAAGCGGCGACCGTGCCGTCGCTGCAGTAACGCCGCTGCAGCTGCAGCTGCGCGGAAAGCAGTGTGCTATGCGTGAAGGCAACACACCAGCAGCCCCTCACATCCACGCCTGTACCCGACACCCAGGCCAAGGGAGTAACACAAACATCTTGTCGCTTAATAGATGATACTAGTGCCTTCTTGTCCTCGACTGTCCATCCCCGGCCTCGCTGCAGCACCGCCGAAAAATACGAGCTGTCTAGCCGTTCACCCAATTCGGGTTTGAGGTTCACAGAAAATGATGCGTCCGCAGCAGCGGAGGTCGACGCTGCGGCGGCGGCAGCTGCGGCGACGTCCATCGAATTGACAAGATCTCTGCTCTCCAACGCCAATGCATCGAGGATGTACACCTCCTCTGCCACTAATGTGTTGTACAAAGGGGAGATGCACTCCTCCACCTGGTCGCACAGAACCGCATTCCGATGTGCGGCGGAGGGGCTGATGGAGCTGCGCAGCGCGGCAAGAAGCGCCGTCGATGTTTCATCGCACGGCTCAGGCGCGGATGCCACGACGGCGGAGGACGCCGCACCGCCACCGAGGAGAGCCGCGGCCCAGGTAAGAAGGATGTGAGCAGCCGAATCACGTGACAACTCACAGACGCGTCTGGCAGCAGTCCTCAATTCTTCAACCAGCGCTGTATCTTGCGAACTACCACACAGCGCATACGCGGTCACAAACATCCGCAGCAGCGCAGTAGCAGATCCCGTGGAAAGGGTCTCCTTTTGCACCGCCACCTGCTCCAACAAGCTGTGCGTGTCCATCAACGTCATGCGGTGACCGGCGCACAATTGAAGAAGCGTGTCCTCCAACGGCACAGTGTGGCGCGACGTTGCGTGGATGGCGCGGACGGCAAGCTGAAAAGCCTCCGCCACCTCCGATGTCTTCACCTCCGCACCCGACTTAAACACAAGTAGATGCCGCTGGCGGTGCTGCAGCTTGGCGTACGCAAGCACCTTCAGCCGCTCCTGGTGCATCAGCCAGAGCGAGGCCGGCGCCTTCTGCCAGAGGTCCGCCACGTACTCCTTGGTGTGTCGTATCCACACGCTGTCGAGGGGATGACAGCGGAACCAGCCCAAGCACACCGCACCGTCCGGCAGCATGACCAAATCAAAGAAGGGTCGCCATGTCGTCTGTGTGTTGTCCGCCATCGCGGAGCTCAACAGTGGCCCCGTCGGCATCTGCAGTGCCGCGCTGCACGCCGGCGACGGTTCGGAGTCGCCGTGGAGGCACAAGTCCTCGTAACAGCGAATAATAAAGTCCTTCTCAAAGTCGGTCATCTCGTAGATGTTCTCCGTGAAGGTAGGCAGGGTGCTGTTCGACAGTGTGGTGGAGTGGGTACTAGTAGGTACTGTGCTGCCGGGTGGTCCGCCTCCGATGCTCAAGATGAACGGCGAAGAATTCCTAGCGCAGATGCGGCTCAGCAGCCGTCGCCCAGGAACCGGACGCCTCATTAAGGTGTGAATTATCCAAAAGGTGCAAAAAAAAAGGTTAATGGTAAGTGAAGGGAGAAAAAAGCGTCGGCGCGTTGCCAATGCAGAGCACCAATTATCCAACAGCAAAGGTGTTGTGATGGGGCGCCGCTGCCGCCTCTGAACGTTGAGTTCGTGCTGATATTAAATGGGAATTGACGATGGAGAAGGTCGGAAGGCAAACGTAGGAAAAAAATTAAGCGAGTACGCAGTCAGTTTGTGAACGCAGTCAAATGGATGCGCTTCACAGAGAGAAGGAAAGGACTTCGTAGCCATTTCTTTTCCTTCTTCCTTTTTTTTTATTACTGTGATCGCATCTCATCAAAACACGAGAAAGAACACGGCATAACGCAACGATCATCGCCATACGAAAGGTGCGCGACGGCCGCCGGTTGCAGCTACTGAGTTACCCGTCACGCGAAAAGTGGCGTACTCGTTGTAACCCACGCTGGGCGGAAAAGAGCGGAACGTGTTCTCGGGTGCGCTCTAACGCGGCACTCGATGTTGCCGAAATGTACGTTCTCATGTTTTACTTTCGAAGTATCGTGAGAACACCGCAGTTACTTAATAGAAGGGTAAACCAAACTCAACGCACTGCTCGATAGCTTCCCATACCTTTAGTGTCGTGAAACATCAAAAGAAAGGTCCACAGCTCCTCTCCTTGTCGATCACCGTGAAACAGCCCTGAAGGATCACTCTACCATTTCCAGCATAATTGCAGCAGCCCCTGGTCCGGACAGAGGCTTCACTGCTTGGACTCGGCAAACACCTTTGCAGGACCCATGATGCGCACGCTGCTGAAAAGCTCCACATCAGCGTCGGTGATCTTCTTGCGCGCCTCCTGGTGATCCGTCACGATCTTGGTGAGGGTCTGGATGAGCACATCCTTGACGTCGCTGCTCATGATGCGGCCCAGCATGTAGTCCCGCTGCAGACGCTCCAGCTCCTCGTCCTCCTCGAAGAAGAAGCGCAGCCACTGCATCGGCACGTCGACAGTCGTGTTGCCGCCCAGCACGAACTGTTCTTTCTTGTCCGCACCGCCGCCGCTGAAGGCATTCTTCTTAATCTTGTCCTTGATCATCTTTGGAGTGTCCGTTAAAAACACGGCGGCCCCGGTGGACGAGCTCATCTTGCCCTTCGAGCCGCTGAGACCGGGGAAGAACTTCGAGTGAATCACCGCCGGCTTGAGGAAGCCGAGGCGCGGCGCGACATCACGTGTGAGACGGAAGTATGGGTCCTGGTCGATGGCCTGCGGGATCAGGCAGAAGACGTTGCCTTTCGCCGCCGGGAAAATGTGTGGGAAGGACGCCGAGAAGGAGGGGGCCGCCTGCACCGCCGGGAACATCCAGCGGCCGCAGTTGTCCTCCATCTTAAAGCCAAAGGCTCCGCGCACCTGACTGGCAGTGTAAGCCTTCTCAATACGCGCCACGATGCGGTACATGCGGCCCACGTACTCGAAATCGCGGAAAACAAAAGTGAGGTTCGGGTCGAAGCCCAAGGCAAGGACGTCCTTCAAGTTCTCCGTTGTCATCTTGTCAATCTCCTCCATTGTCAAATCTTTGAAGAAAAACTTCTCGTCGTCGGTGAGCTGAATGACGAGGGGGACTTGAAAGGTCTCCTGCAGCCACTTCGTGAACATGAACGGAATGAGATGTCCCGTGTGCATCGATTCGCTGCTGGGGCCGCGGCCGGTGTACAGGTAGAAGGGCTGGCCCTTCTCATACGCGTCGAGGATCAAATTCATGTCGCGATGCGAGAAGAAGATGCCGCGGCGAAGAAAGCGGTGGGGCCTCTTGCCAGTCAGACGCTCGATGCGCTCCAGCAGCTGCTCATCGATGGCCTGGCAGCCAAAGTCTTTAATCAGCTTGTCGTAATTCACATCACCCTCTACCGTCCACGGCGTCACAATCGCAGCTTCAGCGGGCCGGCCAGCCATGTTGCCTCTCGTTGGGTGATCGATGGGGAAAATGAGCTAAAGGCAAAAGTTGAAAGGAGCACAGTACTACCTGCGGAAGCGGGAAGTGGTGTTTTCTCGAGAAGAAACACATGAGTGAGAAAGAAGAGTTGTAAGCAGGAAAGGACGCAGCGAGGGTGATGGTGAATACACAGCAACAATAATGAGTAGCAGCAACGTAGGACAGCTACTCCAAGCTGTGCCTCGACGGCGACCGAGGCTGCCACGGTGCAAGGAAAGCAGACAGGAAATCATGGAGAGATGCTTTTCAAGGCTTCTGCAACTGTTAGCGCTAGCGAGAAGCTTCAAACGTCTCGCTTGCCTAACGTTCTCAATGGAGAACTGCTTTCCCGACCCACACGTACTTAAGTGACAGGGTTGCCATGATGGTGTGCGACTTACACAAAAGCAGCTTTCACAAAGGAAATCCAGTTCAGCGTGAAGGAGATGTAAAAAAAAAAAGCAACGTTAAAAAAAAACGCACAACATGCAACGCACACACAGCAAAACAATGCGAACATCCTTACCAAGTTCGACGGCACAGCGCTCGCGCAAACGTCGAAGCTCGCCGCGCGAACGCAAACTTCATGGATGCCTCACGAAGGAAACACTTAAGATGCACCAAAGAAAAGAGCCACCGAGTGCTGCAACGAAGTCAGCAAGGCATAAGGGAGAAAAGAATCAGCGGGCCCCAACAGTCACATCACCACATAGCAGCACACAGGAAAACTCATTGAAGGAGAAAATCAGCAGCAGTGGCCAGCAAAAAAGTGCGTGGCGATCGACAAGAGTAACAGAATAATCAACATTCAAGAGCTTCAGTTTTTCTTTTTGGCAAAAAGCAACCACGCTTCTGTCAGCAAGTCCACGTGCAAGTAGCAACACCTAATTGATAAGCAGGCCGACACATACAATGACGAGCATGACCATCATGCAGATAAAGAGCAGTTTATTACGCGACGAGGTCGTCTGATACTGCTGAGCGCGGCGCAGGTGCTGCGAGGCGTTTCGAGTCGCCCGTTCCGCCGCGGAGACGTTGCTGTCTACAACGTCCAGCTGCTCACCCTGCTCATTCACCATGCCGTTGATGTGCTGAAAGATTTCGTGAATGTCTCGGACGTTGTCCGCGATTTCGCCCGTCTCGCGCTGCCGCTCCAACATGAGCTCCTCGTACAGGTCACGCTCAAACTGCACCCGCTGCGGCGGCTCCGTCACGAGCAGCGACGCCACTTCGCTCCCTGCCTCGTCATCGCTGGCGTCGCGAAAAGCACGCTGCTGCGCACGACCGCCCTGGCCACCGCGTCCTCCCTTGCTGTCGATGCATTTGCTGTAGAACTCGTTGCAGGCGTTTTCGTACTCCTGCAGCGTCTTCTCCGCGTCTTTGGCCAGCTTCCGCCCCTCGTCGCTGAGGTTTTTGTCCAGCACGATAAACCTCTCCATCAGCCTCACGGTTTTGCGGATGTCCTGCACGTCCGTTGCTTTAGCCTCCCGCGTGATCTTCTTTACCTCCTCCCGCTCCTTCTTAATATCATCCGCGGAGCTGCGGCGAAATGTGATGCGACGGATGACGCTAACCTTCTGCTCTAGCTTCTGCAGCTGCTCCGTCAGCGCGTTGCACGTGCGCCGCCAACTTGGGTCTGTCATGGCTGTTGTGTTCGGCGCCTTCTCCACAAGGACGAAGCAGTCGCTTATGTTCTGCAGGTGGCTCGTACGCGTACTGTGACGAACAAAACAAATGGTCTTCACAGAATGTGAGGAGAGGTTGAGAAAGCTGAGAAAGCTGCTGTGAGCAATCGATGTGAGTGTATGATAAATGATTGCAGCAACAGTGAAGCTTGTTAAGAAGGAAACCGAAAAGCTCGTCGGGGAGAGAGGGAGAGAGATATAAGAACACCGATGATGGTTTCAGTCATGTGAAAAAGGTCTGTGTCGAGGTGTAGAGGAAAACGCATCTGCAGCACTCAATAAAAACCAGCAAGCCTTCACGATCTCTCAAGGAGGACAACAGAGCAGAAACCGATGCACCGAGACTTTACGGGGCAGCTGAAGTTGCTGCGAACAAAACCGAATAAGGAAGCGATTATTCTTTTGAGTTCCTTCTTCTTCTGTGTATTGTACAATTACGAGTCCACTGTCGCGGTCTCACATGCGTAGTAGGACACCGATCCCGCCGCATCAATGAAACACAGATAACAGAGGAACTCCCCCGTCACTTGCTGGCTGTAGAAGCGCGCTACGTGTTGCACCCACTGCGCAACAACCTCCGGAGTGATGACTGCGCGCGTGTTGGCCTCCACGCCTAAGAAAACTTTCGCGTCTTTCTTCTTCTCCGGACTCACCCACGTACTCGTCACCGCCCTCACAGTGGTGCCTGCGAGATCGGCGTATTCCGTGTTCCACAGCGGTAGGCGATCCTTGACATCGTTGTAGAGCGCAGTCATAAAAGGGGCTGCGGCGTACATCGACGGTGGTGAAGTGCAGGCATACGGCTTTTCCCTTCAATTAAACATATACAAAAGTGTCACCTCAGCCTCCTCGAGCCTTGGCCTTTCGAAGCGTCGCAGAACGCTTACGCATTATCTACTTCATCGTACGTAGACGAAATGCGTGACGGCATAAATACTCATCACATAAAGATAGAACGGGAAGGAAAAGGAGAAGGCAGGGACAGAGAGAGACTTATAGCGGAAAGCGAACAGAGCTGAATGAGCATGAAGATGAACGAGGTGTGTCTACGTTAATGAGCACCATACTTACTGCTCGTCAATAATAATAGGAAACGGCAGCTTTGATGGACACCACTTCTGCCATTCACTAAATCCGCACGTTGACGCAACGCTATCCAGTTCTGACGACACTGTTAACGAGAGGGAATTTATGAAAGAACTGGTCGTGCCGATCTCGTCCGTTAGTGTTGTTCTTCTTCTTGATTGGAATTGCTTTTTTCTATTGCACATCGCCGCACGGTAAAAATCTCCAAAGAGAGAAAAAAAAACGGAGGAACAACGGCAGACCACAACTCGCCGGGGATCGAGAAAAGCACCTAAATCGAAGCGGTGTTTCTCTGTTGTCTTAGAATCTACGAGGTTTGACAGAGACGCATGCGCAAAACACAAAGGCGGTCTTCCCCTGCGTTACTGTTTTACTACATCAGACAGGCACGTGGCCGAGACAGAAGAAGAACCACCAGGCAATGCTAAAACGGCAAGCAAAAGAACGTCCTGTCGTTAGTTTTTCTTCGGCATCAGCTCACTCACGCGCTTTTGATAGGACTGAAGATAGTTACGCGCGAGCTCCTCTATCGGTTCTGAAATGCCAGTCCCGCGCAAGGCGGAGCACTTGTAAAACGTCAGCTGATTGGCACGCGCGAAGACCTCCGCCTGGTTGTCGGTCACCTCCGCCTTGTCAGCAAGATCCATCTTGTTGGCGATGAGCAGGCCCGGCATGTCCTTCTTGGCAGCCCGTGCCTTCGCCACCCACTTCCTGCACGACTCAAAAGTGGTCTTATTCGACACGTCGTACATCAGCAGAAAAACGCTGGCGCTCTCCAGGTACGGCGACGTCATGCGGTCGTACAGCCTCTGCCCCGCCACATCGAGCAGCGACACCTCCACCGTGTTCTCCTCATCCAGCGAGAACTCCTTCACCACGAAGTCGCAGCCCATCGTCATTAAGTAGTTCTTGGGAAACACAGCGCCGTTGCTATGGACCATCTGCACGAAGGCTGTTTTGCCAGAAGTGGGCTCACCCACCACAACGACACGAAGTCGCAGCAGCACCATGGCGAAGCAACTAAACTTACGGCGTCAGAATAATCTAAAAACAAAGAAGGGGTTTCAGGTCTGTCTCGGCAAATCCACCGATGGCAGATAAAGAAAAATGAAGAATTCTTCTTCTTAGTGCTTTTTCTCTAGTGGGAAAGTTGACGCCCGACGTTTCCACCATCGGGGCAGTAAACATGGAAACCAGGGAGGGAAACAGAAGGTTGGAGGAGTGAGAGACTCAAAATGGGAGCCAACGTACCAACGAGACGTAAATCCACGAGTCGTGTGAGTGGGAGGCGCAGAAGAGAAAAGCTGCATGCACGGTCCAATACTGTCTCTTGAGCTGGATTTCAAAATGTGGGACACGAAAAGCTAGCTGTGGAGCTACGTCAACGTCGTTTGCAAGTTGAGACGATGTCCCAAACGGATGCGCTAACGTTCCAGAAGTGGACATCTGTGAAAGGAGCTGCAATGAAGCTGCATTCGCGTTTTCGTCATTTTTTGACGCCAGCATTCGAGGCTCTACGGAAGGGGAAAGGCGGAGAGGGAAGGAAAGGCCGCCTCATGAGAATATACCTATTTTTCCTCTATGAAATAAACTGCAAATATACGCCACGCGGGCGGCGGTTTCTCTCAATAATACATCTAAACAGCGAATCCAAACAAGTCTCGAATGGCAGAGGAGCCATCACTCTCCTGCTTTTCACCGCGAGACGGTTGGCTGGCGCGCAACGCAGCCCGCTCCGCCTCGGTGGCCTGCGACAGCTCCGTCGGCAGCCGCCAAACCTTCACACTTCCCTGCCCATCGCCGGTTGCAAGCCAGTCTGCGGCTATCGAGTTGAACGCCACGGCTAGCACAGCTGCCCCCTCAGTTCCCGCCTCCGCTGTGTACGCAGGCCGCATCTGGTCTTTCTGCAGGTCGTAGACGTGCAGCAGCGACTCACGAGACACCACTGCCGCCACAGCAGGGCGAAATGGACTCAGTGCAGCGCCGTACAGGTAACTCTTGGTCTCTGCGGACGGCTCCAAGGTCAGCAGCGGCGACCGCTCGAGGTCGGTGTAGAGGCGTGCGCTGCCGTCCGACGAGCAGGTCAACAAGAGGTGTCGGAAGAAAGGAGAGGTGCAGAGAGACTGTACGGGGCCGCGATGTGCCTCCAGCCAATCCAGCTCCACTGGAACCACAGTGCAGGGCGCCTTCAGGTTGACATCTAGCGGGACCAACCCGGTGCGACCGCGACCGACCTCCCCGTTTTCGAGACCCACCAGCAACACACTGTCCAACGTCGGCAGCTGGGTGCCGCGGTCGGTCTGTACCCCCGTGTAGGAGAGCGCCGTGATGCCGACGGAGAGGCGACGACGGCTTTGAACGCTGTAGGCCGCTAGTGGCTTTGCGAGGGCGTTGGCGGGGCTCCAGTGAACGATGAGTCCGCTCTGACTCGCCGAGCAGAGCACGAAGCGGTGGTCCGGCCGCAGCTCCTGCGGGTTGCTGACCCACTGCAGCACCGTCACCGGCTCCGTGTGCACCAGCTCCGCCTCGCTCGACGAGTACTCCTGCGGCACGTTGTCGGTCACATTGGGGAACACCACGACCTCACCGCTGTAGGTGCCCACGGCCAGCATCGACGCCGTAGTCGGATGAAAGGCGAGCGTCGTGGCGTATGTCTCCGTCTCGAGAGTGTAATGCGGCTTCCCTTCTTTAAGGTCGGGTCGTGACAGGTTCCAGATGCAGACGTAGCCCTTGTTGTAGCACCAGCCTGACGTGTCGACGCGTCCGTAGGCGACCGCCAGCATGGTGCCGCTAGCGCTCCACGCAACGTCCAGCGCCTCCAGCCCATTTTCCTTCACCACAGCCGCGTTGAGGGTGTACAACACCGCCAACTCGGTATTCTTACGCGACCAGTTGGGTGCGTAGTTGTCGAAGATGCTGCTCTTCGCGTTTTTGTGGAGGATGGCCAGCATCTCCTCTTTGGAGCCTTCCAAGAAGGTCGCAAGCTTCGCTTCATCGTACTGGACCTCTGCGTACACGTACTGCAGGCCATCTAGGGAGGCTTGATAAGCCTTTTTCTCCGTGCCGACGCTTTTGTCTAGCTGTTCGGAAGCCTGCAAACTGCTCACGTCAGTCTGCGCTTCTGCGGAGACAACCTTGAGCTTTGACGTTTGCGTCTCCGCATCCTGCACCGTCGTCTCCTTCTTCCATCGAGATGAGATGGACACACCTCCGGTAACTTGGTTTTTGAATGCGCAGGAGGCCAGCATCGCTATGGAGAAAGAAGCAGCGGTTGACTCGTACACTAATTTCTCTCGACGAGCAATGAAGAAAAGAAAAGGCGTAAGGATACGTTAGAAGGAAGGAGAGAAAGCGAAGCATGTGAAACTGTGGAGAGCAGGAAAGGGTTCCTTCTCTTTCTCCTTCTCTTTCTATTTGCCGGCTCGCAGTCGAAGGGAACGGAGGTCCGCAAGGGGCCTCTGCATAACGGTGGAGCAGCAAAAACGCTCTCTCCCGCTTGAAACGATGAGCCCGTCAAGTATCGGAGTGCGGTCGAAAGGACAAGAAGAGTCTGCTGTTTTCCCCTCCTTCGCAGTGCGAGCAAAGAAGATGTCCGTGGCGCAGAGTGGCAGTTGTGACGGACACTTTCAAATCAGCGAGCGTCGGACACCACAAATGCAGGAGGCCGAAAAACGGCGAAGCTTCGCACACCGGCACGAAACAGCGATGTGAGTCCACCGAAATTTCCGACGGGAGCTTTTTCCCGTGTTTCGGGGCTTTTTTTTTCGTTATCTTTTCTTTTGTTTGCTTGTAACATCCGACGTACAACACGCATAGAAGAGAGCAACACCAACCGCACGCCGCGACGAAGCGATACGAAGAACAAAGCACGCAAGGGAGAAAAGGAGAGATCACCAAGACAAGTGTGTATCCACACGAACAGCGCCAGTACAGCAATACCTTGAGAGCCAAATAGGGAAGGATTCTTTAAAAGGGAAAACCAACGACTTAATAAAAAGCAAACGCGACCGAGCCTGCATCCTCTACACTTTTCCTTCTGGCTGCGCCGCAGAAGACAACACCCAGGCATCAGAGTTCGCGCTCAAATACTTCTACTTCACACTCCTGAAAGTGTGGGAGATAAAGTCCAGGAAAAAAGAGGACAGCATCACAGAGATGGGCGTTAGTGCACAACAAACGAAGAGGGATATTTATGCCCGTCAATGGTACGAAAAGAAAGCCAAGGCCACGCAAAGCAACAGCCACAAGACAGTCACTTCAAACAACGGTACGACACGGTCGGAGTACTTCTCTATGCGATAACGATGACAGATGCGCTACGCACCGCACCGTAAAAGTGTCATTCTACCAAACAAACGAAAAGGGGGAAAAAAAACTCCACTTCGCCGTTGACGCGGTGCCTGGGCCAAACACCGCGTCAGCGAGCCTCCTTACGCGGCGGAGTTGGTGTCGGAGTCCTCGTCGGGGCTGTCCATCGCTATAAGGCTGCACTCGATGTCCGTCACCGCCTTCAGCACCAGAGCGTAGTCCTCCGGGTTCTTCACCATCGCCTCCATTTTATCGCAGGCCTCCAGTTTGGTGCGGGCGAGAGTGCTGAGCGAACGGACGGAGCGAATCACCTCTGGGTGGTCGCCCATCACGGCGATGGCCTCCTTCATGTACACACCAGGCTGCAGCCCCTTCGGCGACAGAGTCATCCGCAGCACTGTAATGAGACTGTCGTTGTTGGCTGCCTGGCTCAGTACCTCGCGGCGGCTGTTCAGCATCTCCTCCGCCGTCTCAAAGGGGTCCAGCGTCACCTGGTGCGTCTTGGCAATATCGATGGCAGTGGTGGTGGACGGGAAGGAGCGCTCCAGCTCGTATGTGCTGATGCTCATGCGCTGCGACATCAAGTCCAGTTTGCGGCCATCCGCCACGTCGTCCCGAGGACCGATGTTCACCGTGTTCTCAAAGTAGCCGAGGTGCATCGAGCGGTCATAGCCATCGGGGGGAATGCGAGTGCCCTTCGGGAAGTACGGCTGCACCTCGTTCACGGTAACCAGGCAGTGGTTCGGCTGACGATGCACCGCCGCCACCCGCTTGCGCTTCGAGTCTGGCTCCGGCAGCGCCGGCTGCGTCTCTGACAGCTCCTCGGTGAGTCGCACGAGGGACGTGTCCGCAAAGAGGGACTCGATGTACGACTTCGCGTACTCCTTAAACTCGGCGAGCGTCGTGGTGGTCGGCATTTTGTAGATGCGGCATACCGACTTGCCACCCGGCAGCCCGCGCGGCTTCTCGCCGACCATGTTGTCGTCCGCCTCCTCTTGCAGCTCTTTACGCGACTTCGGCGGGGCGTCGCGCTCCATGCGGGCCCACACGAAGAAGTAGCGGCCATTGCGCCGCTTCGTCTTGGGCTCAGCGATCGCCGTGCACCACGTCGACATGGCCGTGTGCACCACCGCAGACCCTTTGAAGTCGCTGACGGCTTGCAGGTACTTGTCGACGATGCCAATGGTGTGCAGGGAAAACTCGTAGTACTGCCCTTTGTCCTGGAACTCCGCGGCCTCTTTCAGCGCCTTCACCTGGCCTTCCAGTGTAAAGCACGCATCGTCCGGACACACGTAGAGTTCGGAGACGATGCCATACACCGTGTCCGCCGGCAGCAGCAAGTCTGCCTCGGGCAGCACCCGCACATAGTCCTGCCAGAACACGTGAGACAGGACGCCAAAGGGCATGCGAGCGCCTTTGGAGTCTGTGCCCTTCACAAAGTAGAACACCTCCGTCACACGGAAGCACAACGCGGCAATGAAGACGAGCACCATGCCCGCCTCCACGAAGTCGTTGTTGGCCTTGTGAGCGTCATGCAGGCGGTAGAGCCATTTCAGCGCCTCCTTCAGCGCATTTTGCCGCAGGAAGTTGCGGAACACCTCGGCGTACGCCGTGACCCTCGCCTCCTTAAACTTCATCGAGTCGTCCACCTGGAGACGCAGCACATCGTCAAATAGGCTCAGCACGGTGACCGTCATGGCCTCGAACTCCTCCGAGAAGCGCGGCGGGCGCTGGTCGGACACGTTCGACTTCTCCAGCAAGTAGCGCGAGATGGGCAGGTTGCGCTGCACGCTCATGAACATCTCATCCACCTTGTGCTTGTACTTCATCTGCGTATCGCCGCCCGGTGCGTTGGAGTCATCCTCGTAGCGCGTGGCAAAGTCAGGTGTAGGCAGCCGGAAATCGTCCTCCTCCACCTTCGCCCGCTCAATCAGCTCGTCAAACTGGAACTCGATGAAGCGACCGGCCAGGCGCAGGTCCCGCACGCGCGACTCGGCGACCGACACGAGCGCGTTCGCCGTGAGCGACTTGATCTTTGACAGCGAGCTCTTCCACGAGAAGAACGCTTGGCTCATCAGAAGGAAGGTGCAGCTGGCCGAGGTGCGCACGTGCTGGCAGCAGCTGCTCATGAGGCGGAAGGTGAGCAGCACCATGCCGTTGCCCATGCGGGCCTTGTGACTGATGATCTCAGGAAACAGCTTGCAGACCACCTCGTGCATCACCGCGGAGCTCATTTGCAAGGAGACGGTCGAGTTCGCCAGGTTCAGCACCGACTCCAGCATGACGAAGAAGGGGAAGACGGCGGTGTTCGCGCTGTTGTCGCGCACCGTGCGCAGAATCTTTGGGATGTCGTTGAGGATGATGCTGCACATCTGCACGCCGATAGCGGTCACAAAGGTGGTGTTGCGCGCCTCCCACGCCTTTCGCTCTTCCGCATGCTCATCCCGCTGCTCGCCGTCATCGCCCGTCGCAGCGACAGCTGAGGCTGCCGTGTAGCGGAAGGCCGACTGCGAGTCGGAGATGATCTGCATCACACCAGCGATGATCTTCCCGTCCACTTCCTCCTGCAGCCACCGCGTGATGATGCGGCGGGGGGTGTAGTACATGATCCACAGGCACGTGATAGCCAGCTGGCGCTTGTCCAGCAGAAACAAGTCCGCGGGAATTTTGTCGTTCGACTGCGTGATCGACTTCCAGTGCGGGCCCAGATTGCGCACGAGGGCAAACAGCTGCGAGGCGATGCCCGTCAGGTTCTCGCTCGGTGTGCGGGAGTCGTTGGCGAGGCGCCGCAAAAAGTTGTACAGCACGTTTGTCGCCAGCGATCGCGTCACGCGATTGTTGTGACTCATGAGGGTGGTAAAGGAGTTCACGGCGATGCGGGCGAAGAACACCGGGCGGCCGGCGCCGGCCCTGGGCAGCAGCAGGTACATCGCATCTGGGTCCTCGAGGACGTACTTCAAGAAATTGATCAAGCTCTCGTGATTGCCGGCCTCCTCAAAGTAAGCCGTGATCTTCTCGTAAATCGTGAGCACACGCCCACGGTCTGCGTAGTGCGTCAGACTGCGCACAAATATGGCCACGTTGCGCACGAGTTGGCTCTCGTCGAAGGTGGACAGCTTCGTCAGCACCAGAACGCATAGCTCCGCCACGGTGGAGTAAAAAGATGGGTGGAAGAGGTCCTGGCGCGGCACGGCCGGGTTCTCGTCCCCCCACAGGTACATGGAGCGCAGAATCACGTCAAAGAGGAACCACGAGAGGGTGCTCATCTCGCTGAGAATGTTGCGCGCTGGCGGGGCCGCCTTCTTGCCGCGCGCCGCAGTAGGCGAGCTGGGGCCTCCCGGCGTCGACGGCGCGCTGCCGTCCCTTGCCGCGTCTGCCGGCTGCTGCGACAGTGTCTTGAGCAAGTTGAGCCACGCCTCCGCCAGTCCGCTGTAGAGGCGCCGCTTGTACTCGCACGCCGCCCCTTCGTAGAGAGTGTCGTTCGACAGAAAGTGATATAACACGCTGCCGGCGCTGGTCTTGACGAAGACTTGCGGCGTCATGCCCTCCGTATTGTGTCGGCGGCGTATGGTGTGCGTCGAGGTGTCGTACTGCTGCGCCTTGGCGGTGAAGCCCAGGAGCACGTCCAGCATGTGGGTGCGGTTCGCAAGCGACACAGTGGTGGAGCCGGAGCCGATCAAGGAAAAGGAATAGGCGCTCAAAAATGGGTAGAAGGCCAAGATCTCAGCGAGTGGCAGCTGTGAAATGAGACTGACCACGCCGCGGTGTGGGTCCGTTGCCAGGGGCGGCAGCTTCTGCAGCGCACCGCACTCATTCAGGACGTTGTCGTTTTTCTTCATCTCCGCGATGGAGGGCGGACACTGGCGAAAGACGGACGCGATGACGCGGTTGGAGGCGTGCACTGTCGTTTTGGTTTGGCTGGATGCACGCAGCACACTCTCGCCGTTGTTCAGCAGCGCAGACACCGGCGCCTCAGCGAAGTTCTTGAGGTAGCCGCCGGCGGCAGCCACGGCAGCCTGGTCGTGCGCTACGAACTTCACGTCGATGTTGTCGCGCACCTGAATGACGCCGTTGACCATCAGCGGCACAGCCGCGTATCCAATCTTGAAGGTGCGGGGCTGCCCCACCGTCGGCGGCGTCTTGCGCTGACAGGTTGCGTACAAGGTGATGAAAATGTGATGGCGGTCCGTCGTGTTGAGGGGCAGCTGCAGCTTGAACTCGTCATTCAGGGCAAAATCAGGCGTGTTGTGCATCGACGTCGACCACGCCAACGTGTCCATCGACAGGTTGTTGAGGCCGCGGCCGTAGATGCACTGGATGGCGCCGTCCTCCGAGAGGCCATCGTCCTTCGCCTTAACACAGATCTGGAAGGCGTAGGTGTGGTGCGAGTTGGGGATGTTGCGCAGGTAGCCGGTGTTGATCACCTTCAGCTTCGACACACGGAAGTAGTAGACGTTGTTGTAAGTGGTGAAGTAGCCGGAGTTGAGAATGGGAATGCAACAGGGAGAGTAGCGGTAGACGACGGGACGGGCACCCTGCACATCCGGATCGAGCAGGCTCACCATCGACTCGTTCTCCTCCGGCAGCGTTTCGGGGTGGTCAGACGGGAAGGCAACCTCGTGCTTGGAGAGGTCGCGGACGGTGAAGGAGAAGTTCACTGGGATCGTCTTCTGCGCGCTGCGCCACCGCTCGTCCTGCATCACCTTAAACGTCTCCTCGTCGCGGAAGGCCTTGCGGTAGAGACGGTCAATGGTGAAGCTGGTCACCGGCTTGTTGTCCTCCCCTTGCAGCGGAGCGGCGTTCCACCCTAGCTCCTCCAGCACGTCGGAGACCTGCGCCAGCAGCAGCGTCTCCTGCTTCATCGGCGCGACGTGCACCGGCTTGTACCTGTCGGCGCGACTGTACAGATCTACGTAGGTGTCGAAGTCCTCACAGCACGGTCGGTAGACGCGCATGATGATGTGCAGCGTCCCTTTAAACTCGTTCGGCACGAAAGCGACGACCTCGTTCTTCTTCGCCAGCTCCTTGCGCTCTTTTTGCGGGTAGAAGACGTCCAGGCCGGCGTCGAAGTAGAACGTTTCAGACACCTTCACCTTCTGGCGGTCGGTCAGGCTGTAGAGGGCAGCGGCGACGATGATCGGGTCGGTGCCCTCGCCGTGCAGCTCCGTCACGCGGTTGCTGATCTTCGCCGCGGCGACGCGGTAGACAAAACCACCAGTAAAGGTGCGCATGGCAGGAGTGGGCTTCCGTGTGTCGATGTCGCTCACCCACAGGTTGCCCGCGGTGGGCTTGGCCGCGGTTACACCCTCCTTGGCAGCCGTCTGTGACTTCTCCCATACTTGGATCGGGTCCCCGTAGGAGATCTGCGAGACCGCCCTGCGCACCATAGCGCCGTCGCCCTTCATGAGTTGATCGCGCGTCAGTAGCCGCTCCGATGGGGCGTTGTGCGGGTAGTCGTCGTCATCGACGGTCAGCGTCGGGTCGCTCAGCACCTCCGACTCGAAGAAACACTTCAGCGATTTCAGCGACCGTTCACCCGGCGCACAGGCGCGCTCGCGGTCGGCGTTGTTGCGCTGGTGCGCGCGCTGCAGCGTAATGATGGTCTGCTTCGCCGAGAAGAAGCCTAGCTGCACCCTTGCGTGCGCTGGCACCTCGCCTGCCATCTCCGTGGGAGGAAAGAGGCACTTGCCGGACTCACGGATGGTGCCGTAGCGGTGGACGTCGATGCGGCTGCGCTTCGTCGCGTCCTCCGTGAGGCCGCGCGTCGCGAGCTCCTCCGCCAGGGCCGACTCAAAAGCCTCCAGCGGCACCTCGTCGCGCCGCTCCGATACAGGGGAGGAGGCGGTGTCCTCCTCGCTACGTGCCAGGATGCCGTTGTCGTTGCGGATCGCCTCTATCGTAGAGGCGGAGTAGTGGCTGCTGATGTCCGAGGCGGAGTCGTCTTCGCTACCGCTGGAGTGGCCATCATCCTCCGCACTCGGCGCGATGGACTCGTGCGGCGTCTTATGCATCTCAAAGCGGGACCCCTCGTGCGGCAAGGCGTGCTCATGGTCGGCGGGGCTGCCCACCGCGCTCTCGTCCGTGCGCAGGTCGAGCGGCTGGCTCTCTCCACTCCTGCTGTTGATGGAGAGGGAGGGAAAGCGGCGCGCTTCGAGTTGCGAGCTGTGCTGCCTAACAGACTCGTCCGGGACCTCCGCCTTCGTCGTGGTGGTCATCATAGGTGCGTCTAAATACTGAGAGTTCTCGCGCTTGCTGCCTTCCAGCTGAGCGGACGCCTTGCGGTTGTCGTGCGGCGACTCGGGCTGTGAGGCGTTTTGCGAGGTCGTCAGCGAGATGGAGGTCGCTGTGGGGAGTCGTGCTGAGGCGCTGAGCGGGACAGCGGCCTCGTCTCTCGGATTACCATTCGGAGTGTCGGCGGACATCGCACGCGGTCGTGTCGAGAGAGGGGCGTCGCTCAGCGGCTTCTTCAGCTTTGCGGCGTACTCGCGCATCACCGCCTCACGAGCCTCACGTCGAATCTCCTCGAGGCGGCGCTCGTGTGCTTCGGCAGCGACCCTGCGAGCCTGCTCCTCGGCCTCACGGCGTGCTTGGGCCTCCGCCTCCCTGCGAGCCTGCTCCTCGGCCTCACGGCGTGCTTGGGCCTCCGCCTCCCTGCGAGCCTGCTCCTCGGCCTCACGGCGTGCTTGGGCCTCCGCTTCCCTGCGAGCCTGCTCCTCGGCCTCACGGCGTGCTTGGGCCTCCGCCTCCCTGCGAGCCTGCTCCTCGGCCTCACGGCGCATTTGCTCCTCCGCGTCGCGACGGGCCTCTTCCTCTGCCTCTCTCCTCGCTTGCTCCTCTGCCGCCTTCCGGGCCTGCGCTTCTGTGTTGCTCACGCCCGCCATGCTGCCAATAGAGCTGTTCTCGCTTTTGTGGTTCACCGGCGCACCTGTCGCAAACGAATCGTGTTGGGATGGAGTGAAGTAGCCGCCGTTGCCCCTAACCCCAGCTGCGGTCACCAGCGGCTGCTGGCCGTACCCGCTGCCTTGGAGCACCGTATCTGGGGTGGCCTGCCGCGACGCACGCTGCTGCTGCTTACGGCGAAGGCGTTCCTCGATCTCACGTTGAATGAGATCTGCCTCTTCCTTACGAGTTGCCTCGGCGGGATCGTCTACGATCGGCGTTATCTCAAACGGCGGCCGACTACCGTACGGGTCGCTGTGAACGTTGGAGCGTTGAATCTGCGCCTCCATCTCGGCCATAAGCTGCCGCTCAATATCGTTGTCGGTGCTCATGACGGTAGACGGTGTCTTGTTCGAAGCCACAACGTCCACGAATACAGAACGTCCCTTACAATCCCCCGCAGTAACAGGAAATGCCAACGCGACGACAACACAGCAAGCACTCTAGCCTGCACTGTGAAAACAGGGGCCAAGTTTGTGGAGGCACTGTCCAACAACGCCCACTCCAAGAGCCTTCTCTTCCTTCTTTCTTCTACCCCGTAGCAATTAGACTTCGAGCTCAGAAAACACTACTGCCGTAGCCGTTTCTTCGAGGTTGATGCTTTCACTACAATAGAACTGGGTGGCGGAGAGCATATATACGCACGCATGCAAGAGATTATGCGTGTGGGCATTCAGCAGCGTGTGATGCACCAAGACGTGGTAAGAAGAAAAGATGGAGCGGAAGTAGCGCGAAAGAATGTGGTCGCCTGTCACATTATTTTAATGTGCTGTGGGGTTTTCTACCTCCCCGCCAAGCACCGGAGTGACCATTTGGCACGGCGGCGTTGATATGCACTGAGGCAAAGCGCAGAAGACGCGACGCAAGGCAGTACTTCGGGTCATTGAAGGCGTCGACCGTTAGCATACTACCGCTTTTACAGAAACGTGAAAGCAGGGCTGCTTCCGCCGAGGCTGTCATCTCAGAATGCTGTGGCCGAAAACGGCAACTGCGCCTCCTCCAGATTTCTGCTTGCGCCTGCCGACAATGCACCGCAGCCCCTTTGCACCTTCCCGCAAAACAAAAAAAAAAGAGCAACGGATACTTCGACACTTTTCCTTTGCTGCTGTGCAAGCGCGCCAGACACGCGCACACGCTGCAGCACAGCACAGCAACGCACATCCAACATTCACCGTAACGGTAATACTAATAATAAATAAACCCCCACCCCTACGCACTGCCCAGAGACGTTACACCAACATAAAGCGAAACATGCAAAGCGAACACGAGAGGCCGGGTTGTGGCGGGTGTGGAACACGCAGCGGCGGGGCGTTTTCGGTGCATTCAACATACATACAGAGGAAGAGTGAGACTCGCTGTGCGCATTCCCTCGCTGACGTAAATGATAACAAAAAAGGCTTTCTTGAAAGGTTTTGTTACTCCAACCTGGTGAAGGAAAAAGAAATTCGATGTGCGCAGGAGACGTAGTAAAGCGCCCTTCTATAGTCGCAGTTGTTGTTAAAGAGGTTAAAGACACTCCTGTCACCTCACGTCCTCTGACATGCACACACTCCAGTGCCAACCCCCCCCCCTCTCCCCTTGTAGCACAACACTTACATCTCGCCTTTCTATGTCTCTTGAGGACGCTTCTTCACGACACAAACGCCCTCTAACACCGTACTCACAGGCACGTACTTCGGATCGGCACACTCCACCTTGTCAGTTGCACTCAGCAGAACCGGCGTCTTCTGCGTCTGGAAGCCGGTGATGGGCTTCGGGTTACCAGGCAGCGCCACCGTGTCCACGGGCAAACCCACACGCACCATCACGGAGTCCACCGGCTCCATCTCCTCATCCACCGCCATCATCATGCGTGGGCTGATGGCGGGCGTGATGGCGTAGAACATATAGTGGCACTCACCCAGCAGCGTGTTGGAGAAATCAAGGGAGCTGTGCAGCAGACTCAGCACGCCCATCAGCGCCGTCATGTCCACCGAATTTCCATCGTTCTGCAGACAGGACAGCGTCAGGTGGCCCTTGCCCATCGCGCAGAGACCCTCCGCCAGGCGCACCGCAAAGGTGGCACCCGCGTAGATTTGCTTCTGGTAATACGAGGAGAGATTGTGCAGCTTCGTGGCGACGCGGGCGTTGGTGCTGCCGGCGGCAACGATGCCCATCGCCATAATGGCGTTGGTGGCCGTCGACACATCGGAGTCGTGCGCCAGCCGGTTCAGCGTCTCCACCACCGGCATGTTCGGGTTGCCGGCAGAAAGCAGCGCGTAGACCAGCGGCACGGCGCAGCGGCCCGACATCGGGTCCTTGCCTTTGCTCACCGTGTCGGCCAGCAGGATGTGGATAATGGCGCGCTTCGTCATCTCCATACCCAGATCCTCGCCCACGGCGATCAAGCCGATGCCGAGCACCGCAGCTGCTTTGTAGTTCAACGGTATCGGCTTCTCCTCCCCTTCGGGCTTCTGCGCCTGCTCATTCGCCTCTTCGTTGCCGTCTTCGGCCTCGTTCTTTTCCTCCTCGTTCTCCGGCTCCTCGTTCTCGGCGATCACGTGGAAAAGACTCTGGATAACAACGACGTTGCCCGTGGCCGCAAAGGCACAGCTGCGCACCACGATCTCCGTGTAGCGCTGAATGAGCGTGGGCAGCGCACGGGTGGCGTCCAGCAAGGTGTCGGCGGCCTCCTGTCGGCCGAGAAACATGCAGCCCAGGGCGAGAATAAGGTAGCGCACGCACGGCTCCTTCAGCTTGTTCTCCGGGACCTCCATCAGGCAGTTGATCATCGTCTCAGAGATGTCCTCGTCTGCGGAGGCAACAAAGACGGTGGACAAGGCGTAGGCTGCGATGCACTGCACCAACAGCTTCTGCTCCGAGTCCGCCAGCATGGGGACGAGCAGCTCCTTCACGTCCTCCTTGCGTGTACCGGCGTAGGCGTAGCCCAGACCCAGGATGGCGCCAATGGCCACCTCATCCTCATGCGCGTTGATTTGCTCGGAAAGCAGACCCAGAGCAGGGTCGAAGGGGTTCTTCACCCCGCACATGACAATGCCAGACGCAAGGCACGCCCCCGCCTTCACGTAGGTGCTCTCTGAGTAAAAGTACTTGTCGATCTGCTGCAGACCCTCAACGTGATCCCACAAGTGCAGCAGGCCCAGCGCAGCCGTCGTGGAGATGATGCGGTCCTCGCGTTGGTCAAAGAAGAAGGCCGGCGTGTCGGAGAGGAACTTGTCCGTGCCGTAACCGCAGTTCGCCAGCCCGCTTACAAAGGCGCTGACGAGGTTGTTCTGCAAGTCCTTCGGCGCGCTCTTCTCATCTGTCGACATCTTAAAGACTTCCTCTAAGGTCTTGGGGGCCATGGAGTCCAGCTCCTGCGCGGTGTGGCGGTACAGCTGCGACAGCCGCATGTTGCCATTGGCGTCCTGGAGTAACTCGTCCTCCTCGTCGTCCATATCGAGGAAGAACTTCTGTCGCGCGCAGGAGAGGGCCATCTGAAGACGCTCGGGCTTACTGGTGCACTCCTTGAAGAGCTCCGCCACCAGCTCCCGGTCGTTGAGTGCGAGCGCCACCATCGCGGCATCCGGGTAGGCCTTCATCTTCTTGTAGATGTCGTAGACGGTGCGCAGCGCCTCACTGTCGGAGGGGCGTGTCAGGTATTTGCTGATTGCGGCGATATAGTTTGCAATGCGTTTGTAGTTGGACGCCTCTGCGTGCGGCAGGATGCGCGCCACGCCGTCGATCTCCAGAAGTAGGTCAATCGCCGTTGCCTCGTCTTGATGCATCAGCATGTAGGTGACTGTCTGATCCACAAAACCGTTGAGGTGGTCGGTCGGGTCGTGGTTGCCGGCCCGATCCCGCCACTCCTCCGCGATGGCGCCGGCGAGGAAGCGCAGGTACTCGTGGCCCCACTGCGCCAGATCGTCCGTGGTGCCCTTCAGTTTGTGCTCCAATAGCGTGCGGTTGCCGCTCTTCGACTCCAGCGTCATCGAAATAAAGGAAAGAAGGTCGTGCAGACGGCGGGACACCGAGGGGTCCTGCGTGCCCTTCAGCGCCGCCTCCAGATCCGGGTAGAGGGCGCGAATATGCTTCAGCGGCGGCGGCACGGCAGCAAGGCTGCCACTGCTGCTCGTGCGCAGCAGCTCCACCAGACGCTCCACCGCGACTTTTGCGATGCGGGCGTCGGTGTCCGCGGCCCGCGTCACGAGGAGCTCCACTTCCTCCTTGATGCGCCTGTCCTCCTCACTCATCTTGTTTTCATTCTCCTTCTTCTTCTTCTCATTGACGTCGTTCTTCTTCACCGGGTCCTGCGAGGGCACCCCGACCTCGACCTCTTTGGACTTCGGCTCCATGGCAAGCGGGTGTGAAAATGGAAGTGGGAGGAAGCGTTAGTGCACCGGAGGCGAATCCGCACGGGACAGCGAGCAGCGGATCAAGCAAAAAATGAATGTACGTAAAAATAAGGCGAAATAAAGCGTGGGAAAAACCGCGTAGACATAGAAGAGAATCAACGCGAAAAGCTTACGGGGTTCGACTAGCACGGGGGGAACACGTCGCCACGTCCAACTTGAGTGAGCTAAATCAAAGGAAAACAAAATACACTGGAGAGAAAGAAATTCACATCACGACACGCAAAGCCATCCGCGGCGTCACAGAAATACGAGGAGAAAAAGATAGGTTCAGATGGAGTGAAGAGCTGTTCGGTTTTTTGAAAGGAGGGGCGGTTGCTCCGTTCTTGAAGAGCATGTCTCAGCGAGTGTGAAGTCTGAAACCTCTGAGCGAAAAACATCGGCCAACACACAATCGCGGTTTCGCACTTCAGCTCCTCGTCAGCAAAGAAAGGCAACACCTCTGAGATGTACCGCAAAGTGAGCGCACGCGCAAGCAACGAAAAGTATGCAATCTGCAATTCGTCGTTTCTTCTCTTGACCGCCGTTTGTTGGTTTGCAGCTGTGGTGTGTTTACAGATGGCGCTTTTTATCGTGGTGACGTCTGCGGTGACACGTACTCGCCACCACAGCAATCAGATGGCGATTCTTGTTTACATGAAAGGCAGAATGCGAAAAGAAAAAAGAAGAGAGAAATTCCAAAGACACAGATATCACCAACGCGGTTCAGCCGCCACAGTGGCCACGACTGCCGGCTTCAACGCCGGAGCCATTCATAAATCTTACATCAGTAAAACACCAGAAGAAAAGGCACGGCTTTGTTCCTCTACCGCAGGAGTTGAGAAAGCTGCCGCACAAGAGACGAGAAGTACACACAGTTGCTCTCCGCCAAGTGCTCGCCCTGCTTCGGCAGCTCCATGTTCAAAAGCAGCTGGAACTCCGCCAGCCGCCGCACCGCCCGCGCCGCATCCGTCTCAATCGAAATGACGCCCATGCAGTTGCACAGGAACACGTTGAGGAAGTGAAAGACGACGCCGGTGCGGCAGCCGCAGTCGTAGGCCAGCCGGCGGCTCTGGCAGCGCGCGAAGAACGACGCGTGGCGAATGGCGGATATGTACGGGCTGTAGAGGACACCGCTGTAGGCGTAGGCGAGGGCCTCACCCGAGGTCGCACGCACGCAGGTGCCGCGCTTCGCATCCCACGTGCTCCCGGCGATGACGGTGGCGAGGCCGTGGGCGGCTGCGTAGGTCGACAACCCAAAATCCACGTCCACTCCCCAAACCCGCTGCTGCTCCGCTGCACCGTCTGCGCCTGCCGTGTCGGTGGTCACGACGTAGTCCACGGAGACGTACCCGATAATACGCTTGCGGTAGGCGGCTTGGCCCACGCTGAGGGAGGCGCCTCGAATTGCCGCGTAGGGCACGGTAGAGCGGCACGGAAACAAGGAACCCATCACGGTGAGCGCCGGCGCCAGCAGCGGCTCCACCACCGACTCCAGCTGCACCGTGCCGGAAGGCGAAATAAAAAGATTGGCCGTCACCGGGGAGGTGAGCCCGGGCAGCACCGCCTCGACGGTCCCGCCTACCATGTCGAACATCGCCAAGTACGACTCCCAGTCGGGGTAGATGTGAGGATGCAGCAGACGGACACGCTTGGCGCCGTGTACCTCCAATTCGCGCGCCACTGCAGCCTCTGACGCTCCCTCGCTGTTATCCTGCAAGGACCGCAGACGGTTCACATCTAAGTAGGCGTGGCCGTGGCTGGCGAACTCGTTCTCAAGCTTGATGAGCCAGCGTGAGACATCGCGGTGCTCCAAGATTAAGGAAGTGAGTGCGTGCAGCAGATCGCCTCGAGATCGAAGCTGCGCTGCTCCGGGCGGGGTCATCACATCAGCCGCCTCGAGTAAGCGCCGGCAGCCGCTCTTCGAGCCGTAGGCCTGCACAATGCGAGGCTCCGCAGAGAGCAGTGGCACGTTCAACTGACTCGCCAAGGTGAGCTCCTCTGGGCCCACCACCGCAGGCACAATGTAGGCGGGCTTGCCAGTGCTGAGTGCCGAGAGCAGCTTCAGCAGCCGGGGGGAGAGTAATATCATGCGGGTGAGACTCAGACCAGCAGGGAGCCGTGCTGCATTCTCCGGCACGACGTACGTCAGCCGCCCTGCCACGTTCGTGATGCCGCTCTCCGCCAACAGCTTTTCGTAGTACTGCCGAATTTCCTGTTCTGGTTTTTCAGGGACGACAAAGACGACCTGCACCCGTGGGTCGGCCAGCATGCTGAGGCGGGTCAGCTGCCCAAGCTGCTGCGCTTCAAAGAAGGACACCTTCTTGGCCTGATAGGTGGGGTAGGAGAGGGAGGGAATGTGAAGGATGGTGCGGCGTCCCTCCTGTATCTGCGGCCACGCCGCCTTGAATTCCTCCATGGTCTGTCGCCACCGCAGCAGGTTGGTGTCGCGAAGCGTGCGGATGGTGCGGCGGGTCATGCAGCGCGCCCGGTAGGTCGCCCACTGCCGCTGAATCGCGATGGCGGCACGGGTGCCAATGAGGAGGTGGATGTACGCAATGCGTTGCCGATACATGAGCCACGTGGCTTGGATCTTGGTGGCAGCAATGTGGTGGCGACGGGGGCCGTAGTGGAAAGGGCGAGAGGCGTCAGAGACCAAGGGGAGTATCTCCTCTACGTTGGCGATACACTGCACCAGCTCGGCAGCAGTGACCAAATCCGGAGCTTGGTAGGAGGCCAGCTGCGCCAGTTGCTTGCCGTCCACGTAGGCCAGCTCCACCCCGTAGGTGGACATGAGCTCCTCCAACGCCTCAATCAGACCCTCCACTTCTCCCCAGCTGGCACTGTAGTGTCGTTTGAAGGACGCAAACTCTGGCGTGTTGCGCAGTGCTTTGCCTTTGCGGATGATGAACTCGTGCATCGAGTACAAATCAAGAAGCTGCGTGTACGTTCGCGTGTCGTCGCGCGTGGTGGCGTCAGCGTGTACAGCCGGGGCCATGTTTGCCGCCGCGGAGGAAGAGGAAGACGGCTGCGGCTGTGGCGATGGCGCTGATCGCTGTGCTTCAGAGGCCGCTGCTGCTGCGGCGGCTGCTGCTGCTGCCTGTTGCGCACGTCGCTCCTGCGCCTGATCGGCCTCCCACCCCTTCAACTCCTCCAAGTTGAGCGCAGCGGGGATGCGGGCGAGTTCGTCCATGTCTAGCTTGTACTCCCGCACGCCGTTGAAGCCGGAGTTCTCTGTCATCACGTTCGGCTGCCGGCGACTGCGCTCCGCCGACTTGTGCAACACGACGCGCTTTGAGCGCATTGGGCCATCGGTGGTCAGCATTGGCTCTAAATCAGCATCGGCCTTGATGATGCCGCTTTCGATGAGGTGAAGAAGTCCGCACGGTGGCGAAGGTGTGTAGGCGGGGCCGCGGACGGTGCCGTTCGGAAATGCGCCTGATTTACTTGACAGCATCGGCAGCCGCGTTGACGGCGTCCGCACCGTCGTGGTCTGCGACTGGGAAGGCTTGAGCGACTTCATGGAGTATGGCGTCAACAGAAAGCCGTGTGAAGACAAAACCGCCAGGCAGCGTACACGCCTTCTTTGCAGTTTGTTTGCTGTTGTCGTTGAGACGGTGAGGCCACGTTACGGCGAAACCAAAAGAAAGCAAGAGACAAAAGAACCAAGGCGTACTTGGTTCGCTCGTCTCGCCTTCGCAAATCACTATGGTAGGCGGGCTCGAAAGAATTGAAAGGAAAACAGACAGACCGCGCGGAAGAGGGGAGTGAGGCGAATTTGGGGAAATCAAAAAAAAAATCCGGTCAGAGAGATGTGCTTCTGAATGACGTGAAGTCAACCGATACGTCCCCCGCTCGACACACACGCCTTTGTTTCGTCTTTCAGCCGCTTACATCTAAGGCTTCCTTGCTGTCACCAGAACTCGCACCGTGACCAAAAGAAAAAGAAGAAAGAGAGGGGCGGGGGAGCGATGGCCTTCAAGTCAGCTCTAGGAATTCTCTTCTTCTCTCGTTCGCGGCCATCTTCTGCCGCTCCGCGTGTGTTGGACAAAACACTTTTTGCCGGTTGAGGTGCATTAAATGTAAAACGCAGATAAGTCGAATAAACGGATAACAAATTCACGCATAAATCAGCACCAACGCGCGCACGCAAGGCCGAAAAGAAGAGCTCAACAACCAACAAAAGGGGATCCGCCCGCATCCCTAAACATGCAGTTCACACAGTGCATTGAAACGCTGATGAACCACCGGGAGCCGCCGGCAAAACACGACTCCTTGAAACCAATTCGGTAAAGTGCCGCTTTTCCCACCACCACCACAGTTTGCGGGCAGAGACGTTGAGCACCTCTCTTTCCCAGACCGCAAACCCCTCTCCTTGCGAAATCGAAACAAAAGGAGAAAGGAGTAGATTGCCGAGTATTGGAGAGCAAAGTGACGCCGTCGCCTTTTCCTTTCACTTCTCCAACCCGCGCGCTGCCAGGACCGCACCCACTCCTTCCCCGCGCCCCGCGCTCCGATGCACGCGAAGGTTCATCATCTCGAACAGCTTATTATTTACCTTTATTATTGCATCGTGAAGTCTAAGTTGTCCTCCTCCGCACCGCGGCGCACGGCATCCGCGTTGGGCACCACCTGCGCCGTGGGGGCCTGGCCAATAGTGCGCATCTTAACCCCGTCAGCGTTGGGGTCCTTCATTAAGCCTTCGCCGACGCGCTGCAGCTTTTTGCGCAGCACCGCCACGGCGTCGTACACAATTTGCAGTACCGGCAATACGCCTGTGGACTCAACGGTGAAGGTGAAGTCGAAGTAGCCCATCTTATTCTTCTTGGGCCGCACAAAGACGAGCGGCTCGGGCAGTTTGTCGAAGGGCGGCTCCTGCGCGGTGCACTCACGGCAGAAGATGCACGCGTCTTCGTCCTGGACCTCTACCATGCCGGTGCGCTCCACAAAGCGGAAGACGTTTCGCGGGCACCGCGCCACCCACTCCCGCGCCCGCTCCTTCCCGAGGCTTTGGAAGCCGTTCGGGTTGAGCAGGATATCGGGTGCGTAGCGCATGGCCACCGTGGCCACTGGCATAAACTTGGCGTGTGTCTTGGCGATGTTCTTGCGGATCACCACGTGCAAGTCCAGCACCTGACTGCGGCCTAATGTGACGAGCCAAATACCGTGCTCCTCGGCGCTGACAGGGTACACCTCCTCGTCGTCGATGTGGAGGGAGTCACCGATAAAAACTTGCATGCTATGTTGATTCGATGGGCACTCCACCCGTAAGGAGCCGGTGATTTGGCAATCTGGACAGCCGCCACCACCACAACTACAGTCCTGCGGGAAGTTCAGCCGCTTTGCCTTCTCAGAGAAGAGCGGAACGAGACCCATGCGGTGGGCGATCATCTCATCCGGCAGCACGGAGGTGTTCTGACGAATCGTGACAGACTCGATGCCGAGCGTGGGGACCTCGGCCAGCATCACACGGCGCAGCGCATTTGCGAAGGAGCTGTCTACCTCATTGAGCTTGAACACCAGCGTCTCACCTGCCGCGTGCTCCTTCTTGATACACTCAATGATCTCTACTTTCATTGATTGATTTGTTTTCGCGGTCGTTGACCGGAGAGATGTGAGAATGAAGAAAAAGGAGGAAAGCAAATAAGTTGTTTGTCGCCCCGTGGTGTACAAACAAAAGAGGTAGCTGTGGGATGAAGAAGACAGAACACCAAAGCGGCGGATGCGTAAGCGACGCGACGCAGCGGTGTATGCAGTTCAGCGGCGAACGTTTTCTTCTATGCAATCCACCTCGGCAGCTGCTTTGTCGTAGTCCAAAGATATGAGTCGAAGACAAGTGTTTTCCCCCGCTTTCATCAAGAAAGAGGTCATAGAGAGAGGGGGAGAGAAAGAGAGCTGGGTAGCAGAAATAGAGGCTCAGTTTGTTTTTATGAAGAAGAGTGGGGTCAAGGAAGAACTGTTTCTCCGTATTCAATTCGCCATGCAGATACCCGCAAGGAGCCTTTTTCAGGTAGGACTCTCTCCTGTGCCGCGCAAAACATCGATAACACGTTCCTTTAACGTTTAGTGCAGCACGTTAGAGTCACTGACTCACACCACAACACACTGATGTTCAAAGTCCCATGTCTCTTTCCACCACAAAAACATCGCTGCCTTGCCGGCAAAGCTCCGCAGCAGCTGCTCCTTTGAAAGCACTTCATTGGGCTTTATTTCTATATCCCCCGACGACGCCGAGCAACGGGAGCAACACACAGAAGAATACATGCGAGAAATGGGAGGACAGCGGAGAGACGCACCGACCGGCACGCACATCAGAGGGAGGCGCCTCGCACAGAAGGTAGGGAAAACGTGAACGACCAACAAAAGAAAAAAAACTCGCACCAATCAAAAACAGTAGATACTCTCTAAAGCACTTTTTCCCATAAGAAGACACTTCGGCACAATGACTCTACGTCGTTGGCGTCACGGGACCACTTCCGCGTCTCATACGCACGTGTATGTACATCAACGGTTGGTGCTCCTTGCACGAGTAGCATCCACAAGCTCACCAACAATCTAATCCACAAGCGCCGCAGAAGGAAAAGGAAAGGGAAATAAAAACTCAAGTAAAAGCCTGTGTGGTTCCTGTAGACAGAACGCTTTATACGCTACTCCCGCAACGTCAGGTAGAGCTTCTTCAGCTGACGGGCCTCCCAGCGGACGGTGTTACGGGCGGAGGTGTCTTGCTTCGACGGATCGGGGTGCACAAAGGCGGGGATCTTCTCGCCGTAGAGGTCCGCCTGGTCGAAGAAGACCAGAATCTCCTCAAAGGAGGAGTCCTTGAGGGCGACCATGTGTTTGGCCAGGTGCATCGCCAGGGCAACGAAGCACCGCTTCGCGTAGAACCACGTGTCGGTCATGATCTTGCGGTCGTAGGGGTCGAGCGACTTGATGATGCGCGAGATGCCGAACTCGAAGTTGCCCTTCGAGCAGTAGAGGGTGCCGATAACCAGGTTCACGATGCAGAGGTGTAGCGGCTGCTTGCCGGCCTCCTCGTGCTGGAGAGGCTGCTCCGCGTGCTCGATGCGTCGCATAATCTCCTCCGCGTTCTCGTTCTGCGCCGTCATGATGTAGGACACGCACAGATTCGCCAGCACAATCGCACTGCAGTTCAAGATGTTTTCTTTGTTGCCGTCCACCACGGGCTGGTAGTAGCGAATAGCCTCCTTGAACTTCGTCTCCTGCATAAAGAAGACGTGCGCCACGTTCAGTTTCCACACCTCATTTTCCGAACAGAAGTCAGCGGACTGCCGGAAGAGCCGCTCCACCATTGGATAGTTCTCCATTTCCCAGTAGATGTTTGCCTGGGCCATCAGCACGGGGATGTACTCCTCTAACGTGATGTCGTATGTCTTCACAGCAGCCTTGGCGGCCGCCGCGTCCTGGCCCTGGTCGGCCTCCTGTATTTTACGCGTCATATTGCGCAGTTGCTGCACCATCTTCTGTGCGAGAATGTCGAACTTGCGGTAGGCCTCGGCCGGCGACGTTTGGGCCGTAATAAGGCCATCCAAGAAGTCGTAAAGGGACTGGTTGTTCTGCGAGAGGTACTCCCACGCGAGGTGCGGATTCTCGGCCAGCACATCGGCCGCCAAGTCGTAGTACTGATACTTGCAGTAGAAGAGCAGCAGGTTCTGGAACGTCTCGGGCGGGAAGGGTGGGTTTTGCAGGAGAAAGTTGAACTTCTTGAACCCACTCGTGGGGTCCTCGTTCATGTTGATGAGGGCGGTGTTGTGCAGCGTGACAGGGTCGAGCTCCTCGTCGGAGCGGGGCGGCATGTCCGTCAGCGCCTCCTTCGCGGCGGCCAAATTCTTTGTCTCGTACTCGATCGCTGCCTTTAAGTTAAACGCCTCAATTAAGGCGGTGTCCTTCAGCAGCTGCGTGTTGCCCACCGACCGAGCCTCGCCTCCTTCGGTGTTGATGCCGATACCCAGCTCGGGGTGGTCCTCCACACCGCGATCGATAATCTCGCTGAGGTGCTTCAGTGCGGGGCCGTATTGCTCCATTCGGTAATACATGAGTGCCATGTTGTACGTCAGCGGTGCAGAGAAGCCCGTTGTGTTCTGCGCCTGCTTAAACTTATCCAACGCCTCCTCGTAGCTGCCCTCCTTGCTCAGCACGCAGGCGCGCAGCACCAGCGTGTCCGCGTCGCTCGTTGGTGCCTGCTCGAGAAACGACTTTGTTTGCGGGAGGTCCTCTTGCTCGTAAGCGATGGCCGCCTGCAGCTTGGTAACCATAGCCTGGTTCTGTTCCGACATTATCATGGTACACAGGCGGTTGCTCTCCACATACGCACCCGCTTTGTAGAGGGACTGCGCGTAGTAGACGCGGTACTCCTCAATGTTGGGGCAGCACTTGGTGAGTTGCTCGTACAGGTCCGCCGCCTCCGCGTAGCTGCCCATCATGTAGTAGCAGTACGCCATCAGCGAGAGCGCGGCGCGGCTGCGCGGGAACTCCTCCAGCTGCGTAGAGAGCAGCTCCACCGCTTCCTCGTACTGGTGGTCGCGGATGTAGCCGTAGACGGTGGAGGTGAAGGTGCCCTCCTGTACCTGTGTCTGAATGCGGCCCAGGGTGGTACCGCCTCCCATCGTCGTGGTGGGCCGCAGCGAGCCCGTCAGTGAGGAGCCGGTGCCTGAAAAGGCAGCCCCGGTTGTGGGCGGCCGCATGCCGGTGATGGGTCGAGTAGACATGTCCCCGAAAAACGCTAGAGCAACGTGCGAGTAAAGATGTAGGAGAATATAGAGAGCCACGAGTTCAGCTGACTGCAAACAACAGACGAAGCGTATTTTCCACCTCCAGTGACAACGACTTCCCGTCGACAGTTAATTCGGCAGCGTGTGTGTGTGTGTGTGTGTTGTAGGTTTCCGTGATCAGCAACTCAAGACAGCATTCAAAGATAAGAACAGTTGGGCATACGGCGGAGAAGGAACGTAGCGGAGCACACACGAAGTTGAAGGGAAACGATACAGGCGCAACTCTAAACTGGCATGGAGCACTGCTGCACGGTGCACGAAGAGGAGAAGCAATCCATGCATCCTTGGGCAGCTGTCCTTTCAAAAAGAAGAAAAAGATATAAATCAGAATGTTGGTATTTGCCAACATTTGAAATGCCGCAGGCAAACGAAAACAATAACAGAATTGAATTATCTGAGCAGCGCCACGCGTCATCGAAACGAACAGAGGAATTCAAAAAAAGGGGGGAACCAGCAGCGCAGAGTTCGCTGCGGCGAGGTCCGCACACCAAACGCACACATCACACACATTACAGCAACCTCCGTTCCACATTCGCACGTATTCATGTCGAGCCGAGACACGAGAGCTTTCCGCAACGACATAGCCCTCTTCCCCTACACAAGAGTCGTCGCCTGCTCATCACTGCGCTTCCGTGTCGCCATCTGCACAAATTGCAGATGTTTGCCGTCTAGGTTGTAGAACCTCTGCCACACGACGCACATCGCCACCGCCACCCCGCACGTCTGCAGCCCCAGCAAGGCGAGCATGGTCGAGCCGTTGGCCACTACATACGACGGCATCAAGGTAGGCGGTGCGGGAGTGACAACACGAGAAGAGTTGGTTAACGGCGGCGTCGATGTTGCGACATGAGCGAACGCCGGCACCACCCGAAATGCACGCGATGCCGCAAGAAACAACAGGACCATCGCAAACGACAGCGACTGCATGGGAACGTTGCCCACCGACGTCAGCTGTTTCGTGCACGTGGTCATCGAAGAGGCGCGTCCAAACAGAATGGCATCCTCCTCCACTACATCCTCCTGTGCCAGGTCCAACATGTCACGCAGCGCGTCCAAGACGAGGCGCTGCAAGGCCACCATTATCGCGCACCACGCCGTGCCAGCCGTAGACACCTCCACAAGGAAGTTCTTCGGTTTCGGCTCGATGACGCGAGGGCCGGCGGCTTCCGCGGTGTCGGTGTCTCGCGTCAGGTAGGCGAGAAGCAGCGAGGCGGCACCCAACATCGCCACGACAGCGAAGCCCATCGACAGGCCGCGCTTCTTGCCCAACACCGCGCACACCACCGCCCCCATTGGACTGAGCAGCGACGACGCGGCGATGACGACGCCCAGGATCGCGGCTCGTATGGCGGCGGACAGCTGTAGTCCACACCCCAGCGTGAGCACGAGATGGGCGAAGTAAAGAACAAACGAGTGTGCGTAGCAGTGCAGGGCCCGCACCGCCAAAAGTGCCTTCATGGAGCGACGCTGACACGTTTGACGCGCAAAGGCGTGAAACTCTGCGGATGATGCGTCGGCGCTCGTGAGCGAAGAGGGAGGAGACCAGGGGTGCTCGGCATCTTCACGCACCGAAGAAGGGGAGGAGCTCTCCGCTGCATGGGCGCGGCGCCGCACATGCTGCAGCCCACTAAAAACGCCTAAGGCGCCGACACTCATCATCAGCACAAGCCAGTGGAAGCCGCCCAAGCGGCCGCTCCTCGGCACAGCGCCGTCGTACAGCAGTGCCGCTGCAAACACGACCGCCGCAACACTTGCCGCCGCCAGGCGAGCAACCCAGGCGATCCACTCCCCCTCCTTGGGTCGCTGCTGCGCCATCTCACGTGCCGCCTGCGCCGTGAACGCAGAACATCCCTCAGCGAGTGCGCTCAACGCAGCAAAGAGGCACGTGAAGGAAACTGCGGAGGGCAACAGCGGGAAGCGCAGCAGCCACCACGACAGCCCAAACAAAAGCGCAAAGCATTGCTCGCAGGAGAGCCTGCGCAGCAGCACCGGCAGCACACGGCTGCTGGGGAAAGCCGTCGTCACAAGACTCAGCAGGCCAAAACGGTGAAGGGAGGTGACTACGGCGTAGGCCGTCTGTGCAATGACGAAAAGCAGCAGGCCCCACGTCGACAGGTGCGCTTGTACCTCATCATGGCGGTCCTTGGCCTTGACAGGTCGCACATTTACAATGAGAAGGCGTTCGTGGACGTAATACTCGACGAAGAAGGACATGAACACAGCTGCGAGCAGGTGGACAGCAAAGGTGTGAAAGCCGAAGAGAAGCAACCCCCTCTTTGTGCCGGCTACCATGATGACGGCACTTCAAGCGGTGCGGTGCCCAAATTGCAACGCGGAAGCACGAAACTCGAAAGGAGGGAACGCGCGACGACGACAAGTTCCGAGAGAACTGATAAGCCGGTAGGCGCACTCGTGAAACGCGGGGAAGCAGTGGGGGAGAATTGTGAGGTGTGTGATGAGGAGCGATGTTCGGCTGGAGTCGCTTAGTAGCCCGCACATTCCTGTCCCGTGCTCGTGCCCCCCTCCCCACTCCGCGCCAAAGAAGCAGCGAATAAAACTAGTAGTGACAATGGTAGTAGGATGAGCGACCACAGCTAACTGTTTTCCCTGCAGATCAAAACGTCGGTTACGCTTCAAAACTCCGTACCTCTTTTTCCGCTTTCTATTATCCTACTATTGACGACGAGCGTGGAAATGGCGAGCGAGGGTGACCGCAGATGAAGATACGGAGGAGAACAGCACAGGCACGCGAAGCCAAAGATAAAGAAAACAATGAATCGGAAAAGAAAGGTGAAATAAAAATCATTTGACTCACACAGAGAAAGAGAGAGCTCCACATCGTCGCTCGTGCCACACCGCCTCTCAGCCTATTTGGGTGAAGGCCGACAGACTACGAGTGGCAGAAGAAAAAAAGGGTCAGTGCCGGCGTTCACAATAAGCTGAAAAAGACAGTCGTTATGCAGGACAGATTGTGGCTGTCGACCCGCCTTCACTGTCAGAGTGATTTCAGCAAGGAAAATTGCCGGTTTTTCCAACGACGTTTGTGGATATAGTGGACGTGTTTTGTATCATATAATTCCTTCCATTTTCTTTCTTTAGTGAATATGCGCTCAGCTTTCTCGTTTCCATTCGCACTCATATTAATAGCAGCGCGGCCAAACCCACGCATACCAACAGCACAGCTCTCATTCAGCACTAATCTTGGCAACGTTCGGCCAACACGGACGAGTTTGTGAAACGAAAAAAGGCAAAGGAGGTGCGAAGCGTTGATGCTACATTATACGTACACTGCCTCATGGTCAGAAGCACAGAAGAAAAAACCGCAGTTATATGAAGAGAAAACGAGTGCGGTGCAGGTTTTGCACCACTGAGCACGGCGCTAGGTGCACAACCAGTATAGAACGCTTTTGCACATGAATTGCGTGTTGGCCGCTGCCGAGCAGGTGTGTGTCCACAAAACTCATATTACTTTACATTGCCCTCCGTCCGAGGAAACAAAAAAAGAAATAGAAGCACAATAAAAAGCTCGTGTGCAAGAAGGTGCGGCTCTTCCCTCCGCAAATTCCTTCCGCACGGCCGAAGCACAGTGGCGTACGGAGGGGAGCATCGAAGGGAGAGTCCTTTGCCATTACCACACTGCCACCTTTCGGGCACAGAGAGAACAATAAGCGCGCCTCAGCGTGCGGTCTAGCCTTCCTGCTCCTCATCGTCCTCGTCGTCGTCGTCGCGCTGCTCCAGAGCCTTCTTAAACATCGCCCCCTCATCCGCGTACACCGCCTTGCGCATCTTGCTAAACTCCCGCTTGTGCTGTTCCGCCATGAGCTCGCCTGTGGCCGTGCCGGGGTGCAGCATGGGTCGCCCGCTCTTCGAAAGGGGTGCCTTGGGCCGCTCTGACATGTCTGACTCAATCTGCTCTCGCATCTCCTTTACTTTGGCGTTGACGGCGGGGTCCCATTTTTGGGCAATCTCGCTCCGCTCCTCATCCTCCTCCATGTCTTCGCCGTCGACGTAGGAGTACGGCGTCTTCGGCTCGGTAATGTGTAACGTGACGGGGTGCTGCCGCTGGTACTCGGCGTTGGCAGTTAGATTCTGCTCATCCCATTCGACGTGTTTGGAGCCGGACATGATGGGATACAGCTTAAAGAAGAAAAAAAGGGAATGATACTAAAATGTTGGAGCAACAACTGTTGATGACACACAACTGTGCAGTCGGGATGCGGGAATGCTCCGAACCGACCAGAGTTGCAGGCGTTAAAAGGGGAGGGTGAAAACAAGGAGCGTGGTGCCGTGAAGAAGAGGAATTTTGGGAAACGAAGAAATCGCACGAAGGTGAGAAGAAGAAAAAGAAGGCATTCGACAGTCACTTCGACCCGCTTTAGAGCAGTTCATAGTGTTACCCCTTCACGCTTTTACAGCGATCCGAATGCCGCCCACGGCCATTAAATGACTTACGGTACTCGAAAGGAAAGCAGCACCTCAGTCCTGCTTGCAAAAACGGAGACAATTTACATTCCTTTCCTCCCTTACTAAACAAGCCTTTTCACATACAAAAAGCTTTCCAGGAGAGCAGGGAGACAGCGCAGCTTACCCCGTCGCCTACTGCACAGAAGATCGGCTTCACACACCGCATCCGCATCCGCATCCGGCCCAAATTCACGACGACCTTTACATCGGCCAACTTAGCCACAAAATGACGCTTCGCCGTTTCCCCTTTACTTTCTCTCTCGGCGCTTAGCGAAACTGCATTCGTGCAACTTGCAGCAACGCAGGAGGGAGCAGACGCTCGCACACGCTCATCGGTACTCGCGCCAACTCCACCGACTGTGGGATGTCGGCCGGCGTAGTGTACTGCAACGGGACCGGAAAGCCACCCCACGTCTGCATCTGGGCCAACGCGCACGACGGTGCAGCGGGGAAGTCTCCACTGCTACCGGGCGTCGACACATTCTTCGGCGTCCCTCCCCCTGCCCTGACAGACGCTGCAGTGCTTCCTGGCGTGGAAGACGGCGTCCCTGCGACTGCTGCTGACCCACCAGCTGCGTCGGCCTTCTTCAAGGCCGATTTACGCTCCGCCAGACGCTTCTTGAGCCCGTCCAGCGCATGCGAAGTCTTGCTGGTGCTCTTCTGCGGCGAGTCCTTGGACGGAGGGGATGCGGCCGTCGAGGCGGTGACTCCAGACGGTGCGGTGGAGGACGAAGCGGCGGTGGCTGATGGAGTGTTGTGGCTATGTATTGCCGCCGTTACTGCCGCCTCCGGTGTGCTCGACGGCTTCAGTGTCGTCGCTTCTGTGGGAGAAACGGCCTGCATCAGCGCCTTCCTCACCTCCGCCTCGTAGTAGCGCTTCTGTTCATCGGCGAGGTGGTCCCAGTAGGCAGACATGGTGCTGAGGAAGGTCTTGTGTTTTTCCACGGAGGGGAAAGACGACGGAGGGTTCCAGGTGTGCGGCCACAAAAAGCGTGGCACCGCAGCTGCGACCAAGACGGTTTCCCTCTTCTCCCGATCCGCAGCGGCCGCTGCCTGCGCCGCCTCCGCCGCGACGTCCTCCAGGCTTGGCTGTGGGTGCGGGTCCAGGGAGAAGCTGAGGCGCGTGCGCTGACCCCCTCCGCCGTCTGCCGCCGTCACCTCCAGTTCACATCGACGACTGACCAGATACTTTGTGGCGTCCTCCACCGAAGCGAACTGCGCAAACACAAGGGATTTCTTCTCGTCAACGGCGATGTACGGCACACAACCCTCCGGCACCGTCCGGCGGAGCGCCTTCTCTACTGCGCTGACCGAGACACCAGGTGGGAGACGCGTGATGCACACCTCATAGCTTGGCGTTGCCAGCAGGCTCTCCGTGAAGTGACAGCCGCAGCGGTAGCAGTCGTCCCGCTGCTGGGAGTTGATATTGCTGCAGACTCCACAGGCCCAATCCCCCGCCGGTTTCTCTGGTGTGTCCAGCACCGCTACCCCGTCGCGATTACGAGGGATGCATGGCGGCGGCCTGGGGATGTCACCCAGCACGGAAGGGAGGAAAGCACTCGGCTCAAAAGAGACCGTTCCATCACAGTCTCCCAAAACGCCCTCCACACGAAACTTGCGCTGGGCGTGGTGGCGATGACCGTCGTTCTTCAGAATGGGCGACCGGCTGCGAGAGCGGCGCCGTCCACGCCGCCGATGAATGCTGGAGCGGGAAGAGGAGGAGCTGGAGTAGGACGAGTAGGACGACGATCGCGAGGAGGAGTCGTACGAATAAGATGAGGTGACGCTGTCGGAGCGGTCACTGTCGCTGCCGTCAGAAGGGGGCGACGGCTCGCGTGCGCGCGGTGCCGCGGTGCCACTCATTGCGTGTCTATGGAGCGGTCGAAAATGAATAAATAAAAGTGGCGGCAACAGCCTTTAACAGAAAAACACAGGAGTTACTCGCGAAGTTCCTGATCTACACGAGTTCAAACGAAAACCGCCGCTGATGTGCAACTACAACCAAGAAGGGAAATACACAGACGAAGAGCGAGAAAACTTGTTGTTTTTATACTGCTGAGCCGTTGGCAAGCGAACCGCCAGTCCCGACTCATTCAAACATCGCAGCGCAGGTGGTGGGCAACGCGGAACATCACTTGTTTGCTTTTTGCACATCGCTTCGCCTACAAAACCTATCTCCACCGCCGCCGTTGCCTGCCTCCTTGCGGCAGGTGCGCCTCCACGTTTGAACCCTGAAGCTCATTAAAAAAAAAAAGGGGAGAAGGTTGAGAAATGACGTAGACAGTGGGCGCGTCCTTCTCCCTTCCCTTCGTGCTTCTCTGCTACGGCACCCCTTGGGCCTGCATCTCTTGCAAGATGTGCCGTACGACCTCCTCCGCCTCCTTCTCCGCCCTGTCGATGATCGCCTGCTCTTTGCGCTGTCGCGATGCAGAGACGTAGTTTGTCTTCTCCATCTGTGCCTTCTTCACCTTCTCCGCGGCACGGCGCTGCACCGCGGCTTTGATGGCCTCGTCCTGCAGCAGCTCCGCAACGGTTTCGCTCACCGCCGTGGCCACCTCCGCGTACTCCTCTGCCCGCACGCCGGTCAAGATGCTGTCGGCGCCGCTGGTGGAAAGGATGTCAGTGGAGAGGACAGACACGCCGTAGGCAACTCTCTGAAGCGCTGCGGCGGGTACGTCGAAAACATCGCGCTCCGCCGCGGAGGCCTCGGCCGTGTTGCGCGGGTTTTTTGGGTAGCGAACGCCTGCTGGCGAGGCACGATCGACTGCTGCCGTCGCCGCTGCGGAGGCGCGTCCGCTGCGGTTTGGCAGCGGTAGCATCGTGAACATCGGCAACTGCGGCGGAACCAACAGCCGCGGGTCCACCTCGGACGGCGCTGCCGTGCTGAAGAGCGAGTACAGCGTTACCTTCGCCCGCCTCACCACATCTTCGCGCACGGTGTCCATGAGGGCATCGGACACTGCCCACAGCTGCTCCTGTGTGACCCAGCAGGCCATGCGGAACAGGCACCCACGCATCTCGACGGACACGGATGCTTCGTTCTTGTCCGTGGTGTTCAGCACCTCGAAGGGCAAGCAGTGCATCGCCGCTCGTGCCACTTCAGCGCAGACGGCGTCACCTTTGAACTGTACCAAAATCGGATACACCGCACTGGGAGAGGAAGCCGCGGTGTCGTAGGCGCAGCGGGTGATTTCCTGGCACACGCAGGAGATGTCCAGCAGCAGCGCCCATGCAAAGCCAGCAGTGATGTGCGTCACGGCCAACGGTGCCGTGGTGGGCGTGTGCGGTGCGGCGGGGCCGTCGGTGCGCACACGCCGCAGCACGTACTTCTCCAGGGCTTCCCGCACCGCGTTGTAGAGGTCTGTGACGCTGTGACGGTCGCGTGGGTCGAAGAGTGGGACGTGGATGCCGGGGACGCCGCTCGTCACGGCAGAAGAACCGGCGTAGTCGCGAGTCGCAGAAGTTGCGGCTTTCGCTGACGTCTGCGCAGCAAAGCGGTCGCGACGGGCGGCACCATCACCGCCTGCAAAACTTTCGGAGCTCACCACCTCGTAATGCGGACGAGACGCCTGCCACAGAGGGACATCATTATGGTTTACCTTTTCCTTCGCCTCTCCTTCTGCCGTGCCTCTCCGCTTGGTGTGCTCCTGCAGGAATCCCAGCACGCAGTCCATCACAAGACCCTCTGCCAGGCGCTCCCGTTCCTCTTTGTTGTTGCTGCTGCTGCACGGTGCAGACAGCGGCACCTCATTCAACTTCGCAGGCTGCTGGGACGGATCCGTGCGATTGACATCAAAATGTGCCGTCGGTACCCGTGGGCCGCGCGTGCGACTGGCCGGGCGCACCTGCACCGTGGCAGAGGCCCCTGCGCGATGGGCGGTGGTGGTCGCGGCGGACACAGAGGCTTTCGCAGTTGCCTGCTCTCTGCCGTCTCTCATCTCCAGTGCGCCGTAGCCTCTCAGCATCGCAAACGCCTTCACCAGTCGCTCGACCGCCTCTGAAGCCTCGCGCAGCTCCGACACGCGGGCCTCCGCTGCCGCCATGCGGTGATGGTCCGGTGGTGGGGGCAGCGGGGCGACCAGCTGTGCCCGCTGCTCCAAAGAAGTCGTTGCGTCACAATGGGCACTCTCGCCGCCCATCATCCAACTCTTCGCTTTGATGGTTCCTGCGGGAGCACTCTTAAATGGGGAAGGAGCGGCAGTAGTAGACGAAGTGGAAGAAGTCCCGGTTGCAGACCAGCCAGGCGGGGGTAAAGAAGGCAGCGTCAGCAGAGGTGCGCTCGTCGTTGTGGCGGTTGTGTCGGTGGCATGCGCTTTGAAGGGCAGCGGCGCACTGCCCACCCCACCGGGTGTCAGCAGACTGGGAGAAGACACCCCAGGCACTGCAGCGGCCGACGTAGCAGCAGGAGCGAGGGGAGATGGGGCGAAGGGCGGTGGCAACGATGGAGCAGCAGCGGCGGCGGTAGCCGGTGCTTGCAGCTGCGGGGTGGGGACCAGCAGATGCTGCGAGAGGGTGCTGAAGATGCTGCTGGGGGCCACCGAGGCGCTCTTCGTCTCCGACAGCGTCTTCTGCGGCGACTCCTCAGTCAGCGCGGCGTCGTGTGGCCACTCAGACGGCAACTTTAACGACGGTTCTCGCTTCTCTTCCTTTGTTGAAGAATCGTCTTCGGATTGAGGGAAGGCCACGAACTGGCGCGGCACCCGCGACGGCGCCGGTGGCACCTGCAACTCGCTCGTACGATGCGACGCCGGCCCTTTGAACGTCGTGGTGGAGGCGCTGCCCTGCTCGCTGCCAAAAGCCACGAAGTGGGAGAGAGCCTGAAACTCCGCCCTTTCGCCGGCGCGTGCGGCCTTCTCGGCTATCTCACGCGGCACCCCGGCCGAGCCGCTGTTCGACAGCTTGTCGGAGCTCTGAAACGTTGAGCGGCGCTGCGCATCGCCGTCATTCTGGCCGCCTGACGACTCGGCTCCTTTTACGGAGGTGAGTGCGTCATCGCCTTGGATGGGAGACACCAGCGCGCCCGCTCTGCTGCGTGGCATCGGCAAAAAGGGGAAGGAGGAAGAGGCGCTGCTGCGGTCACTCCTCTCCCACGTCGGCGCAGGTCCCTTCGGTTGTTCAACCATCGCATTAACCGGGATGGGCACTGGAACTTGCTGTGGCAGGGCCCCCGTGCCTGGCGCAGTAGTCGCTGGAGACGCCGAAGGGGCTGTGGGAGAAGCCCCCGAAGGAGGCGAAGTGGCGGAGGTGGCGCTTTTGGACGTCGGTGATGCTTCGTCCTTCAAGCTCTTCGCTCCGTCGGAATTTGAGAGCGGAGAAGGGTGCGCTGACACGGCGTCCTCCTCCTCGTCTGCCGACGTCGACTCGGCCTCGAAGGAGTCGTCGTAGTTGAGCATTTCGACTGTTTCTTTCTTTCTTTCAAAGAATCTGCGCTGCTGTAAAACGTCGGAGTTCTACTTTTGCTCTAGGTCGGTGTGTGTTGAGGGTTTGTGTCTATGAAGGTGTGCAGTCCCTCTACGATTGCTGCGAAAGGAAAATGAGAAGGAGTATTGTATAATAAAAACGCGACTGCGAATGGCAGCAGCTCGTTTCTCTTCCTCTATTCTATTTGGGCTCGCGTTGTTCGACGCTATTTTCTTTTTCACTTGAGTGCGGTTTTGTGTGGTCACAGAGGAGAGAAACCGAAAGGCGGGAGAGCGATGGGACGAGCAGCGTAAGACGGGAAGATCACCGTGAGGACAGAAGAAGTTGGAAGTAGCACTTCGCAGGCAACAGCTTCCGTTTGGCGTTGCTTGGTGGCATCGAGGCACGTGCTCTGCTGTCGTTTTTCGAATTCAGCGGTGTTGCGTCGTTTGCAGAGAGAGCGTGTGCATCGAGCAGTCTGCACCCATCAACCGCGGTGTTACACAGGAGTGAAAATTAAGAAACATTAGGCGGAAATAAAAAGCCGCTGCGACACGGGGAGCGACAGCAACAGCCGAAACGAAAACCTTCGCTGCAGCATAAGATGTGCAAAGGTAGCCAGCGGCACAAAAGCGGCACACACCGTCACCCGAGGCGGCCCTACGCGATGAGGCGCACCTGCTGCGACAGCTCCAGCAGCTTCGTGAGAAAGAGGTCCAGCATGTCCACCACACGCATGCCCACCAACGTCGTGTGAGCCGCCTGTGACACCCACAGCGGCAGCGGGGGCGGCGGCAGTGCCTGCACTCCGCCATCCTCCGCCTCTATGAACACCGTCAGCGTCTCCGCGCTGTGGGTGCCGTAGACCTCACAGAAGGCAATCCAGTACTGCGCGGCACGCTGCTGCAGCACGGCCTCATTCTCCAGCTCCTCCGCAGTGGGCGCGCGGATCTCCGCCTCATTCTTCGCCAGCGCCTCGAGCCACGTCTCGGCAGCATCGAGACTCACCGGTGCGTGTCGCTCTCCCTCGTCCCCCTCCGACCCGCTGTCGTCAGGGAAGCTCTCGCGATCTTCGGAGTAGGCGGAGTGGAAGGAGCTGGAGGAGCTGCGGGGCGCGGAGTTCGAGCCGGTGCCGCTTAGATCGTCGGAGTCGCTGTCAACGCTGTACACCACCGGTGCACGAGCGCCACCGGCCACAAGCTTGGCCGCATTCTGTGTACGGCTCGTTTCAGAGTCCGGGTCGCGGTCGCTGTGGTTGCTGCCGCTGTCGAGCGAGTAACAAGCGGAAGACGCTAACGATTCGGCTGAAGCTGCGCCGCGTGGGGACAACGCTTTGGGGGAAGAAGAGGAAGAAGACGAGGAGGATGCGGCCCTCAATAAAGACCTCAACGTGACGGCATCTTCGTCCGGGCCGTTACCACCGACATTGGCGCTGTCCCGCAGTGTCTCATGGGCGTTGTGCGCAGAGGGACCTCCGGCGGTGCCCGGAGCGGCAGGAGGCAGCGGCTGCGGTCTCTCCTTGCAGTGACGGAGCAGCCTCTCCACGTAGAGCACCTTCATCAACGCGTCGCTCGCAAACCGCAGCAGCTTGCGATGGGGTGTGGAGAACTCCTCCAGCAGCAGCTCATGCGCGTACGTCAGTTTGTCGTACCGGGCGAAGTAGTGGAGGGCAGACACGATGAACATAAACGGCATGGATGCGAGCTGCGCCAGCTTGCTGGGATGTACGAAGTCGGCGAAGGCCTGCGCCAGTCGCTGCCGAAGGTGCTCGCGCATGTTCGTGTGCGCGGCGTAGCGGCCGTTCGCCAGCAGCAGCCGGCTCAGGTCCCCCACGTCTTCGCCGGTGCCCAGCTGCAGACCCATCAATCGCACCAAGACGGGCGGGTACTCGTTGAGGAAGACGTCCACGCCCTCCCGCACCACCAACCGCACAAACTCCAACACGGCCTGCGAGGTGTGTACCTCCCGCAGCACCGCACTCACGTCGGCGCAGTCCGCGGGAGAGAAGGAGGTGGCGAAGCTCTTCGTGATGGAGAAGGCGTCCAGCAAGTTCGCGACGACGGACAGCTGAAAGAGCGTCGTCCGCTGCTGCATGCGCGCATCAGCGCGGATTTCGAACTCCGCGTTGTAGTGGCACCGCGGGCACTCGAGGTGTGTCGCGTCCAGCCGGTGCAGCAGCAGGTGGTGGCACCGCGCACAGCCGTAGGCGTGGTGGCCCTGGCGGTACTGTGGCAAGTGCAGCAGCTCGGCGACTTCGCCCAGCGGGAGGAGACCCTCCGTGTGCGCGCGGGCCGCGACGTTGTAGGCGCGCTCCATGCGCATCTCCTCACGGTCCACCTGCAGGTGCTGCGGGGGCAGCGTCAGGCCCTCGTACGGGGGCCACTGCTCCTCCAAGCACTCAATAAGTGTACGGAGGGCCGCGTGCGACAACACCTCAGTGCTGTCAGCGCTTTGCCCCGCCGCGGCGGCGTCACTCTCGCTGCCGTCCTCGTCCTCCGCATCGTCCTCTTCCTCCGCCGCACGCGTGCCCAGCAGCACCGACAGCGCCTGCAGCGACGCACCGGTCAGCACGGGGCCGCCGTCGCGCATCCAGAGCAGTTGCAGCCCTTTCAGCATGCACTGGCCCACGAGAGGGCGGTCGCAGCCGAGCTCCGTCGTCACGTACGTCGCCTCCACCGGTGACATCGCCCGCAACAGCGAGACAGGCCGGAAGAGCAGCGCTTCCTCCAGTGGACTTCGGGTCGGCAGCGCCGCGTCGCGCGGGCGGTGACGGCTGGTAGCGGGGATGCGACTTGTCAGAAACGTTCGCAGCTTCAGGTGTGCGCCGCCGTGCAGCAGCGTTCCCGCGAGCTTCTCTGCTCCAGACTGAAAACACCACAGCAGGACTTCCGCCAGTACACGCGGCGGCGGTCGCTTGCCCAGTGTTGGCGCTGTCACCAGCCCCTGCAGGTGCTGGCAGAGAACTCCGTCCAGCGTGCGGACCTCCGACACGGTGTCGCTGTCGGGGTAGCGCGCAGCACCGCCGCGGGCATCGTCCTGCACCCTCAAGACATGCGTAAGGAGGACATGCGACGCCTGCCGCGCCGTGTCCACCAACTCTCCTTCGCAGGCGTCCAGCAGGCTCTCATCGTCACGCTGCGTCGACGGAGTGTCACTGCGGCGCAGCTGCAATGGCACCGGGACGTGCGCGAGCTTCTTCACTGCTGCCTGCTCAAACTGGCGCGCCCGCTCGCGGATGACGTCCTCGTCGTTGTGTCGCAGCAGCGTGGACTGCGGAATGACCGTAACGAGATGCGCCGCCTCCACGTCTGGGTGGTCGGCCAGCACGTGGGCGGCCGTGGGGCACTGCGTCTCGCAGACCTCCATCGCGTACGCGTGCCGCCGCTCCGCCAGCAACGCACGCTGCTCTGTCGGTGAGGACGCTGCGTCGGCGACTTCGCCTGACGTGAACGGCGGTGCGCCGTCCGGCAACGGAATCGAGCAGGGGAAACGGAAGTAACTCCGCGTTTGGTGGCGCTGCTGCCTCCGCGGGTCGCTGATGTCGGCGATTTTCTTCTGCAGCCACGACTTCTGCAAGGCGTAGGCGAACACAACGTGCTCGGACGTTCCATAGGTGGCGAGGCGGTACACAGTAACAGGTCGCAGCTGGCCGTATCGATAGAGGCGATAGGTGGCTTGTGTGTCATCGGCAGGGTTCCAGCTGACATCTAGCAGTATGCAGTGATTCGCAGCCGTGAGTTTGATGCCTACGCCCCCGGCACGCACCGAGCACAGCAGCACGCGGCACGTGTCGCTCGTCTGGAGCTCCTCAATGCAGCGGCGTCGCTCCACGTCGGACGATGCGCCGGTCAGCGCCGGGGCGACGACGCCGTGCTGCGCCAGCAACTCTCCCATGAGCTTAAGGTGACTGAGGTACTGCGAAAACACGATCACCTTCTCATGGAGTTCGTGTACGATGTAAAGCGTGAGGTGAAAAGCGAAGCTGAGCTTTGGCGAGTCGGACAGCTTTATGCTCCGCAGCGCCGCAGTCGGCAGCACCGGAGAGGCGAGGGAAGACGTCACCGCGACTTCCTCGGCATCGTCCTCCTCAACCCTGTCTTCGCCGGTCGTGTCTTGGGCATTCGACAGAACAGCAGTGCTGCAGTGTTCGTCATCCAGCGCAGCCAGGGCCGGATGAAGGCAAATGTGCGAGGCGTGGTGGTGCAGCCGAAGGACGGAGTCTCCCTTCTCCGACGCACGCAGCTGCTGATGAATGCGCTTCAGCATCGCCTTGTAAGCAGCCTCCTGTGCGGTGGATAGACGGAAGAAGAAGATGTACTCCCTGCGCGGCGGCAGCGTCGACGCCAGCACCTCCGGTCCGCAGTGATGTGCCGAGTCGGCAAAGTAGTTGCGCAGCGACGCCACACAGCGCTGCATCTCCAGGAACTGAGTGTATGTGGAGTCGACGCACTGGCCCAGCTCAATCGGGGCAATGAAGTGTTTATGGAACAGCTGCGTGTCCAGCTCGCGGCCGGTCACGATGGACTGCATCGTGTTGTACTCTTCCAGATGGTTCTGCAAAGGCGTTCCAGTGAGGGCGAGCCGCAGCTGGATGTTGCGCAGGTGCTGCGTGAGCGCCGTGACCAAATTGGAGCTGCTGCGACGGAGACGGTGCGCCTCGTCCAGCATCACGAGATCTGCCGTCTCAATCATGTCCAGCAGCCGCACGTCCTGTATGAGCGGCAGCGGAAGGCGAATGCGATCCAAGAGAGACCACACACGCGGCCAGGTTGTCGAAGCGTGGCTTCGGTAGTGCGCCTGCGCGTACTGGAGAATGCGTTGATACTCCTCGTACCCCAGCAGTAGCACACCTCCTGTTTGGTAATAGTTCAGCAGTACGTCATCAAGCGTCCTGCCTCCGGCGCGACTGGATGCCGCAGTGACGCCGATCGCGCTGGGCACGTGCAGCTGCAATCGCACCGAGCCGGAGTAGCGTGGCTGCACCCACTCCGCAATGGATGTCTGCCAATGCAGCACACAACTTCGCGGGCACAGCACTAAGATGCGAAGGGCAGGGCAGCTGTCGCCTTTCAGCAATGCGTTGCAGGGCGTCGCGTTGTTGCGCTGCTGCTGCCGCCGCAGGTGCTCTCGCTTCATCGCCATCAGCGTCACCTGCGCTTGCAACAGCAACGCAAAGGTGAGGGAAGTGAGTGTTTTGCCCAGGCCCATGGAGTGGCCGAGAATGACGCCGGAGACTTCTTGGTAGAGACGAGTGCGCTGCTCGATGGTGGACGAGAACGTGCGGGCTGCGGTGCGCAGAGCGCCCTCCAGAACCAAGTGCTTCCAGATAAACTGCAAAGCGTTGATTTGATGTGGTCGGAGCACACTTGCCATCACGGGCGGGATATCGAGGACGCCCTGGCCACCACTGCCATCGGAGCTGCCAGGTGGATTTGCCATTATATTAACGTCGGCAGTGTGATGTGCGTGTGCTTCAGTGTTCTCCCTGTGCCTATGAAGAGGAAAGAGGGCGTGTTTACTGCTGCGTCACGTATGAGCTAGATGATAGGGCTCTGGGGCAGTGGAGGAGCTGTGCGGTTTGGAAAGAATGATCAAGGCAGGTAACGAGTTCCCGCCTTACACGAACCGGAGATGTCCAATGAAGGCCTTCTATTCGGCACACGTCCTTTGCGTCGCACCACCCACCCCCACACACCCACGGACGCGGAGGTGGACCTGCCACACAGAATACTAATGAAGAGAAAAAAGCCGCAGGTAACTCGAACAGCGTTACCGCGAAATCGGTGGGGGTAAAAGAAAAATGGTACTGCGTGAGAGAGAGAGAGAGAAAGGAAAAGTCACGTAGAGCGTTGGTTCGTAGAGTCTCACGCATATATATGTTCTCCCTGAGTGCGTAGAGGCGGATGAGTGCTACAGAAAGAGAAGAGGGTGCACAAAACTCCAACGGGTACATGCCCGCATCAACTGTGGCCGGTGCATTTTGTGGGCGGGTGCGGCACGCGAGCACCGATCCTTCAACAATCTGACTGCCTTAGCGGCCTACTTCTGGTGCCGCACCGCAGCCATAACAAACACTTCTTTCGAAAGCATTACTTGCATCATCATCAGTAATAACAATAATAATAGGTGTTAAGGCATGCGCAGCGCAAGTAAGTAAATGCCTATGCGTGACAATTGTTGGCAACGCACTCACAACGAGGGTGGCAACAGCGAAGAGTATCAGCGACCGCCTTTCTTGCAGACGGAGGTAGCGGTAGTGATGAAACAACGCAGCGCACGCCAACGATCGGTCCTTCTGCCGCGCCTTATTTTCCTTTCTCTTCTCATTTTTTGGTTGTTGGTGCTCTCCGTCGAGAGACAACACAGTGCGGCAACGATTCCACGGCAGCACAGTCACGGATGTTACGCGGAAGCCCCACTCCCCTCGAACACCTTTTTTTCTCTCTCTAGTCGTAATGGGCGTGCTGTTGGGCCTCCGCACGACGAGCAGCCTCTCGCAGCTTCGGAAGGTACGCGCGCACCACCGCATAAAAAGCCACAGCCAGCACAATAAGAGGAAGGCACATCACAAACACAGAGACGGCGTAGGCCACTACGGCAGGCACGAGGTCGGCGATGCCGGAACTGTAGGAGTACACGCTCCACGGTGCGGCCCACAGCGCGTAATAAAGCACGGCGAATGGATAGAGGCACACAAACCCAATCAGCCACTGCTGCAGGAAGCCGACCACGACGTCCGAGATACTCTCCGCCTGGCCCAGGTTAAACAACGAGGAGTACCACGCGTTGTCGTAGCTAGCTGTCTGGACGTACTTGATGGAGTCCGCGATGGTCTGCCGCTGCTCTTGAGCGAACTGATATGAGACGACACCGTAGAGAGGCTTCAGCTTGGCTAGCATCAGGCGCTCCTGCTCCTTTAATTGGTTCACCTCAATAAGACTCCTACGGTAGTCCTCGTCTAGAAGTCGGATAGTCGCCTTGTCTTCCGCTTTTGTGAAGAAGAAGCCCTCCTTCTTTCGTGCCACCTCGACAGCTCTCTGTTTTTCATACATTCTTTCGTACGCCTTCTGCATCTCACCGCGGCGCAGCGACTGCACCTCCTTCTCCCAGAAGTTGATTTGATCGTCCTTGCTGCGCTGCGCCACCGCTTTGGCATCTTCGCTGCTCCACCAGCCGTGCGCAGCGCTGGAGCAGAGGGTGAGAGCAAGCAGCAACGCCACGACGAGCGACAGCGGCGTCACTGCCGCACCAACTCGCTTCGACCGCATTGCTGCAAAGCGAGGCTTTGAAAAGAAAAAGATCGATACACGGAGTTATCAAGGATTTCGCACACCAACCCTCCATCAAACAAAGCAGAAAAAAGGTATAAAGCAATGCTATGAATCCAGCGTAAAATAGCCGAACACGCAAATGGATCGAAGGAGGCGTGGAGCAGAAGATCGACAGGAAAGTGGAGTTGCATTCCTTTCTGGTTTCTCTCTCTATCAGAGAGAGCGACACCGTATCAGAGCTTCGTGAATTAGCCAACTGTTGCCCGAAAGCACTATCTCCACCCGCTCCATGGACACACAGCTCCTGAACAAGTACCTCAAACTCTGTAGTTGTTGCGCAGACATCTAAAACGCTTTGCTTTCAGCAGCATGAAGCTAATTCTTGCAGCAGCTGCGCCTATCGAAATGCGACCCCAACCTGCATTCTGGCAGCATACGCGGCTGCTGATCCCGCGATCCCGTCATCGAGCTTTGCTTCTCCTTCTTCTCACCTGTCACTTTTCACTAGGGGTGCACAGCTTACAACATATTCACAACTCACAAAGAAAGAAACAGTAATGCAACACCACATACCGACAGCAGACACGCGGTAAACTTAAAGGTGCCCAGTAGTTCGTCAACGCCTATCGGTTTCATCGGACGGTGCGTACGACGTTGCAACACACAGCGAGTTAAACTCTGCTCTGTACACACTGAGGCGTGTGTCGTGCCTTCTTGCATCAGCGCATCTTTTTGGTTGTTGTTGCCGCACGTCGCGCAGCCTGCGTGCGGTCGTTGCAGGAAACTGCAGCGAAGAGCACCATTCCCCTCCCTTGCCTTCCACACACACGCATACACACTCCCTCACTCATTCGCTCATTCACCTACGCCTACTTGAGACTCAACACCTTATCCCACACTTTGCGGAGGTACGATCCGTAGCTGACTAACGCATGCGAATTGTCCTCGAGCATGGCCCGCTTCATCGACGGCTCGTACGTCACGTTGCCTTGCACGCACAACTCCGCCTTCGCCGTAAACACGCTGCGGTTGAGCTGGCGGTGCACCCAAACGAGGTCCTCCACGCGCTGCCGCAGCGCCTCCAGCTGCTCGGGTGAGGCATTCACCTGCTCCTGCCCCTCCGCCGCGGCGTCGGGCTGCTCGTTGCCAAAGAGGCGGCACACGGTAGGATGCACCTTCTTACCAAACCACAACACAATGACGCTCCCCACGTTGATCAGGTACACGCTCTCGCGATTCACGCAGCTCTCGGAGGAGAAGACGCAGGCGGGCAGCTGATTGATGTCCTCCTCGGGTGCGTAGACGAGGTAGGTCCACGTCACGTAGGAGGCTACCATCGACTCTATCGGCGCGGACATGACGAAGGACATCGCAGCGACGCGTTCATCGGGGGGGAGGGGACGCACCGTGGCGAGACCGGTTGCGGGGTAGCGGAAGAAGCCGCTGAGCAGCTGAGGAATAAAGCGCATGCTCTCCGGGATCAACAGCATCTCCGACGCTGGCCGCATGCCTTGGGACTCGATCTGCTTCAAGGCGGCCTTCCAGGCGGTCGTCAACTTGTCCGTGATCTTCTGCTGCGCCTGCTGAAAAGGCCCGTTCACGGCGAGGTCCACGCACATCTTCGTCAGGAAGCAGGACATGCCGAGGCCGCTGATCGAGTTCACCACCGGGCCGAGGGTGGACGTGACAGGGATCTGAATTGTGTGGACACGGATGCGGCGCTCACGCGAGCGGGTGGTGTAGACGACGGCGAACTGCACGTAGGCAAACTTCGCCGTGTAGTTCGAGCCCATCTTAAACTCAATCGAGTAGCTGGAGTCCTCGTCTGCAATCGGCAGCACCAAAAGGTCCGGCACACGCACGTGGCAGTGCCCGTAAAAGTTCGGCACAATGAGCCCCTTCGACGTGCGCACACGCAGCGTGCAGTCAAAGGCGGTGAAGCGCAGCAACGCACGCTGCACCTGGTCCGCCATCCCGCTCATCGTCACGCCCGTCGCGCGATAAATGGAGCCGGAGGTAAAGCGGGAGAGGGGTGCGATCGTCGTCAGATCGACGTCGTTGTTCGCCCCCACGAAGAGATCGACGGAGGTGGCGCTGTTCGAGCAGGCCAAGGCGCGCTGCTTGTACCAGTCACTTGCAGCCGCGCACATGGTGTACTCCTTCGGTTGGTTCGACATTTTGCTAACGTCGAAGCGGTGACTTAGCTTGCCGTCGCCGTCGGACGGGATGTTGGTGATGCTGGCGAGAATCTTTCCGCCGTTGATGTCGAGCATGGTCACAGCAGCTGCCAAGGCAGGACCAAAAGCGCATCCGACTTCTTTTGTGCTGGCGAACATCTTTGGGAGGGACTCGAGCACCACACGCAGCAGGTTGTGCGAGTCCTTCACCGACACCACCAGGTCCGCCACCGGGCACGGCAGCTCCACCTTCTCCAGTCGGAAGTCATCGTTCACGTTTGCAATGTCCTTCACCGTGTCCGGCGACGCCATCATGCGCGGGGCGCTGAGCGTGGCGCGGACGTTGAAAAAGTACACGGTGCCGTCGTAGCCCACAATGCCCATGTACACCGCGTCGTCGTTCTTCATCGACTCCAGCGCGGCGAGCGCGCCGTCGCACATCGCCTGCAGCAGCCCGGAGGCCACCGCGGAGTAGGAGCAGTCCAGCATGAGCAGGAAGGTAGGACGGCGCGGTGGACGCTTCATGAACTCCGGGGTGGCGTAGAAGTCCACGCTGGCGTGCAGCAGCTCCGGCCGGCTCATCAAATCCTCGCGCTGCCCCGTCTGCGGGTCGATGCGGCTGAAGTACGCGCGCGACGTGACGTTGACGTGCCTGCACAGGATGCAGTGCCAGCGCGAACCGTCGTTGGACTCCGTGAAGGTTGTGTAGGGGTTAATGTAGGCCCCGCACGACTTGCAGCGGACCATCGCATTGCCCTTGTCGGAAAAGTCCACCTCGTTCAAGTGCTGCTCTGCAAAGGGGCGGAAGTTGATGCCAATGGGCAGATCCAGCTGATCCGCGAGCTGCTGCGTCTGCGGAAAGGTATTCATGGTGGGTCGCACCGAGAGGCGGCTCACCGGGGTGATGTGCGCAGGCGCAGGCATGCGCTGCTGCAGATCATCCTCAATGTCTTGTGGCATAATTCGCGGCACGCTGGCGTGGTCGTAGAGGTTATTGGATTTGCTGCCTTTGCGCATCTGCACTGGTGTTACGCGAATCACATCGGGGTTCTGCTGGAGAGCACTAGCTGCGTTGCCGTAGTAGGGTCCCGACTGCGGTGGCTGAGGCTGCTGCTGGACCTGTCCGTACTGGTATCCCGGCTGTGGGGCAGGGGGTTGTTGCGGCTGCTGCGGCGGGTAGGCGGCATACCCGGCCTGCTGCGGCGGTTGCTGCTGTGGAGGAGGATAGGCAGCGACAGGTGGTGCGGCCGCTGGATAGCCCTGTTGCTGCCGCTGCTGGGGCGGTAGAGCAGGGTAGGCGTTCCCGTATGGGTTGGCCTGGCTGTACGGCGCTGCCGGATAGGTTTGCGGCTGCTCGTAACCGTTGCCGCCGAGCTGCGGAGCGTAGCCGGAGGCGGAGCCTTGCTGCTGCTGCTGCATAGGTGTCGGTAGCTGCGGTGGCAGCAGTGGAGCCTGCTGGCTGTAGGGTCCGTCGTAGAGCTTCTGCGGGTCCTCAAATGCGTTGTACACCGGCGCGGCGGGGGTCTCCTCCTTCGGTCGCGCCGATGCGGAGTTGGCCTGGGCGCGGTACATATCCGCGTACATGGCGCCTGCGGGGAACATGGTGTGCAGAGCGCCAAAGGCAGAGAGCACCGAAAGGCTACTAAACGAGCGTGAAGGGGGGCAGATGCGGTGGCACAACGTCCCTTCTTCTCAATGTCCAAACGGTGCTGGAGCTTTGTGAAGGTGGATATGATGAACGAAAAAGAGCGCAAGCACCTTTCCTGCAAAAAGTGTATTCAAATGGAAGAGAGAAATAGGCCACGTTATTGACGGAGTAGGAGACACGCAAGGGTAGCGAAGAGCGAGACAATAACAGAGCGCACACCACGCACATGTGCGTGAAGGTGTCCCTGAGACGTATGCGTACCTAGAGAACGCAGATGGCATGTCGAAAGAGCCTTCGTCACGTGCAATGTGTTTTCTATTCTTCCACTGAGGTGTGTTGAGAAGAAAAAAGCAAGAAGAGAGAACCACGGTAGCGCCGACCGCTTCCAAATGCGTCACTTCGGCACGCGAAAACCACAACCAGCGAGGCCAGTGTGGGTGAAGCAGCGACGAGGTCTTTTCCCCTCTTTCATCAACAATCTCGCCTTTCTTCATTGCTGCTGTAAAGAGATTGGTAAGCACACTCGTGCAGAAACCCATACAGAGAATCGGCACTCCAGCAAGTAACCTTTCGCGGCACCGCGTTGTGCAGCCACGTCGACAGCCGTGTTGCACCAAGCGGCGACACTCCGTCACGCCTTCTCACGCACGGGGGGCGCGACCAAAGGGATCTGCGCCGACCGCCGGTGTCTTCTTCTTTTCTTTCTTAACTTCCCCCAACGGCCGTCCCAGCGGACGGGGCTGTGCATGCCGCGCCACACCGCTCTTGAGTTGTTCGAGCGTCATGCTGGCCGGTGGAGGCGGCCGCAGCCAACCCATCTTGCGGTAGATCGGCGCTAAGACGTGGGCGAAGAATGGGTAGCGCACGTACACAGACAAGTCGTACACCGCCAAGGCAAAGAAGAGCTGTCCGGCCATCACGATGGCCCAGTTCCCAAAGGACCACATCCGCACGTAATGGTCGTAGGGCACGAGCCCTGTTGGCACTAAGAGGTAGTACGTCGGTTGCAGGGAGCCAGAGAGAAGCGCGACAAGGAAGGGGATGAACACAAGACACGTGAGGCCGTGTTTGACGTAGCGAAAGGAGGAGTGCAGCTCCTTCGTGATGGCGCCGTCCACCTCAATCGCGAGGTAGTCAACAGGACGACGCCGTGTCATGAAGCGCATGAGCGCATTGTCTTTACGCTCGAGGTGCCGCATCTCACTGCGAGTTTTCGCCAGCACCTCTGCGCCGAGCTTCGTCTGACTCAGCTTGTCAAAGAGAAGCCGCCGGTGTGTAAAGCGCAGCATTTGCTTTGGGGAAGCAAACGAGTCCGTCCCTTTTTATTGGATGATTGACTAATTCGCTGTGAAAAGAAATAAGCCTCAGTTTTTTTGTTTCCTCATTATTTGTTTGAATCCAGATGTGAAATCGTGTGCACGACAACTTCATCGAGCGTCGCATCCACCGACTCTGCCGGCTAACGTGTGAACGGCACAAACAAAAGGAAGAGCGGAGTGATCTTCATTAACTTTCTTTCTTTGGCCGGACGTGTAAAGTCGAGAAAAGGAAAAAAAAGGCAGCAAAGTTTGTCATTGCTGAGGTGCTTCGTCCATCGATGGCAGCGTCGCCGCTTCCGCTCGCAAAACCGTGAGCATTGAGCATGTGCGTTCATCAGTTACAATCGCATGCGCGTTCGCAGCGCATTTCTCTTCAGCCTGCGCGACACCGTCTACTTGCAGACCCAAAATGCTCGATGTGCGTCGACGGACAGCCATTTTTCTTTTCTCTCGAGGCATTGTGTTTGATACATTTTGTTGTATTCTTTAAATCTAAATAAAAAGGCACTTATAAACGGAAATACGAGGTTGCGGAGAAGTTTCCTTTAGTCAGAAGACAATTCGCTTATTTCGAAGAGTTAGCGGGTACAGACATCTTCGTCTGTTGTTTAAAGTATATATTTAGGAGAGGAAGTGTAGCAGAAAGAAGGCAAAAAAACAAAACACACACAGCTCTCCTGCGAGAGTACGCGCAAGCCAAGACAGAGCGACGGCTACTTCTTTCCCTTCTTCTTTTTACCAGCGCCCTTCTGCTTCTTCTCGATGCGCTTCTCGCGATTTGCCTCCTTAACGGTCTTGCGGTGTGTCTTGCGCTCCTCTTTCGTCATATCTGCGAGTACGGCTTGCGGCGCCGCCGTGCGCTTCGTATTCCCTTCGTTTGCCGCTGCGTCATCCTCGGCCTCCTCCTCCTCATCCGAAGGGGCACCGTCATCTCCTTCGCTGTCACCGTCTTCACACCCGTCCTCGCCTAAGCGGTGCTCCCCCTCCGCAGCCGCGGCAGAGGCGGCCGGGGCAGCCGTCATGTTCTCCACGAACGCCGCCACCTCCGGGTTTGGCGCCACACGGTCAGAGATTTCGTTCAGGGAGCGCGGCACGGCGATGTTCAGAAACACCTGCTCATCTACCTTCGCCTGCTCCACGTCCACCGCGGGCACGCCGTCAGCCTGGTAGCCCTCACGGATTTCTTTTAAACGCGCCATCAACTCCTCATCGTTCGGCGGGCCCTGGCAGCGCTGCCACCCCGTCTTCGCCGGCGCCGCCGTGATGAAGTGAAAGAGGTCCTGCAGGCTAAACAGTTCCGCCAGGCCCTGCGAGCGAAAAAAGCCGTTCACGTTCACAATGTCGCGCCGAAGGAAGTCCATCGAGCGGGGGTGGTCGTGCTCGACGGACTGCGACACGTCAATCACCACGACGCGGCCGCGGTAGAGCAGAAGGTTGTACTCGGAGAGGTCGCCGTGAATGAGATGGCTGCGAGCGAACATCTTCCGCATCGTGCAGCAGAGGTCCAGGTAGCACCTGTCCAGCGCCTTCGCGGACGGGAACTTCACCTCCTTCAGGCGCGGCGCCGGCCACCCGTCCTCGCCGAGGAACTCCATGACGAGGACGTGCTGCCGCAACAGCTTCACCGCAGGCGCCAGCACACAGCCATCCTGCAGGCGAATCAAATTCCGCGCCTCCTTCTCGGCCCACGTTCGCACCATCTTCCGCGGGTTACTCTTGCAGTAGCGCTGGAAGCGGAACTCCCCTGACACGTACTGGTCGCGGTCCTTAAAAGAGAGGATGGAGGTCTTGTACACCTTCAGCGCGGCAGGGCTGCCATCGCCGCTGACGGCGTAGTACACGTTCGCCTCCTTGCCGGTCGAAACGCAGCCGTTGATCTCGCTCAGAATTCCGGAGTTGACGAGCTTGTACAGGATGAGACGCGTACGTGGATCCAGCACGTTCTCCACCGTGGCACGCTCCGAGCGATCCACATTCTTCGAGGCGGAGTTCTGCACGAAGCGGCTGGACATTGTCATCTCCCGAAGCTCATTCAATACTCGCGCGTTCGACTGAGCACCGCCGCTCGCGCCGCCACCGGCGTTGTGGCCGTCGTAGTAGTCGTCGATGTGGATGCGGCTCAGCACTTTGGCATCGGCATTTTTGTGCTGCGCGGGCTGAAACTTGGCGAGGGAGGTCGCCGCGTTCTGTGCGTTGGTGCCGGTGCCGCCGCCGCCCTCCTCGTCTACAACACGCACGCCTTCGCCCTTCGCCTCCCCTGCGTCGAAGTAGGCGTCGTAGTCGGCGTCGTCCTCGGAGGAGGAGACGATGTCCGCCAGCGTGCTGCCGGGCACCATGTACTGCAGCAACGCCCTGTCGTTTGCCATCGTGTCCATTGTGGTCGCGTATGGGGAGTGTGGGTGGGAAGGGGTGTGTACCTGTGTGTGTGTGTGGTGGGGGTGGGGGGGGGAGGGAGAGAGAGAGAGAGA